AGTCGCCACTCTTCGGATACGTCACGGCGGACGGGCGGGCAGGCCGAGCGGGCAGCTGCGGGATTCGTGACGCAGGCGGAGTGGGCGGTGCTGGGGGCGGATTGGAACCGAGGAGGTCTGTTCTTCTTTTTCTTTTTCTTTTTTTTTCTTTTCTTTTTTTTCCTTAGGCTTGCCGCTCAGCTGCACTGATACCCGGCGTTTCTCAACAACAGATACGCACTAGTCCTATCGGGGTACCTCGGCCGATCCCTGCCAATCCCCACACTGCGCAAACGCGGGGATGCGCGCTGATTCGGGGTTTATCTCTGCGAAGTCGGCGGCTGACCGAAGTTCGCTGACTCTTATAAAATGACGGCACGCTCTTTCGTTCCTCCATCATCCAGTGTTTGTACCTCGTTGCTACCATGGCCTCGTCTTTTGAGAGTACGCCTCTCCTTCCATACCTCGTACGTTTCGCGCTAGCTGACCTCGCGTAGAGTCCGGCGCGCCACGGAGTTCCAGTGAAGACATCGCCTACGGCCGCGGCGGAGGCGCAGCTACCGAATATGACGATGACCTTCACGTCGAGTGCCCGTCGCACACCACCGAGCGCCGACTAGTCTCCCGTATTGACATGCGCGTCATTCCGTTTCTCTGCATCCTTTATCTCTTGGCTTTCCTGGACCGCGTCAACATCGCCAATGCAAAGTCCTTCGGCCTGACGGAAGAGCTTGGGCTGGCCAGCAAGAACAGCATCAAGTACAACACTGCCTTGGTCATCTTCTTCGTGCCCTACGTTTTATTTGAAATCCCGAGCAATGTCTTGATGAAAAAGCTGAAGCCAAACCTCTGGCGTACGTCCATTTCCCGCATCAGCTGAACACCGCTAATCCAGGGAACAGTCTCTGGTTGCATGTTCTTTTTTGGTCTATGCTCTATCTGCCAAGGCTTAGTGCAGAACTATGGCGGCTTACTAGCAACTCGTAAGCATTAAGTATGACTTACCCGATTGGGCAATGTAGCTGACCATGCTTACCAAGGCTTCTTTCTCGGATTGTTTGAATCAGGGATGTTCCCCGGATGTTTCTACCTCATAGGTATGAATTTCAATGGGTAACCATATGTGGAAAGCCAATTTAACTAACTGAAACTGTCTAGGCATGTGGTATCGACGCAGTGAAGCTCAGCGCCGATATTCGTTTTTCTTTAGCAGCACCACGCTTGCCGGAGCCTTTGGTGGACTTCTCGCTTCTGCCATCGGCAAGATGGACGGCATGCAAGGTTACAGAGGCTGGCGCTGGATCTTCATTTTGGAGGGCTGCCTTACTTGCGTGGTTTCGATCATTTTCTTTTTCTTCATTCCTAACTTTCCTGAAGAGGCCAAGTGGTTGTCTCAAGAAGAAAAGGACTACGTCAAGGCTCGTCTGCAGGCAGACCAAGGCCGCTCCGCTGTTGAGCGTCAAATCACTGCTCGCGATATTGGTAAAATTTTCAAAGATCCGAAGATCTTCATCGGAGGCTTCATGTACTTTGGATTGATCATCCCAGCATACGGGTAAGTTCATGTTCCACCACATATGGGCAGTTGCGCCCTTTTGCTTACACACCGTTCTCTAGGTACGCCTACTTCTCGCCATCTATCATCCAAACCTATGGCTACTCCCCAGTCCAGACGCAGCTGCACTCAGTACCACCCTGGGCTGCAGCGTTCGGCTTCGCCATGATTGTCGCTTATGCATCCGATAAGCTGAAACACCGCTTCCTTTTCACCCTGATACCTATATTCGTGGCCATTGCCGGTTTCGCGATGCTGCTCGCTGTTCACGACAATAAACATGTTCAGTATGCGGCACTGTTCCTAGTCGCTATGGGCAGCTACTCAGCCATGCCCGTAATCGTCTGCTGGTTCAACATGAACCTTGGAGGACACCATCGGCGCAGCGTGGGCTCCGCCTATCAAGTAGGATTCGGAAACATCGGCGGCATCATAGCAGTGTTTGCATTCCTGCAAAAAGACGCGCCCAAATACACCCCGGGCTACAGCATCTGCATTGCCTTCATCTGCCTTAGCGCGCTGAGCTGCTGCTTATATTGGGTGGTGTGCTTCCGGGACAACAGAAGGAGGGACAAGACGCCCACGGACTTGAGTTTGACGGAGTACGAGAAGACGGAGATGGGAGACCTGACCCCGGAGTACCGGTACCTGCTGTGATACCCCGAATCGCGTGAGAGTGGCCTAACCAGCCACGCTACGCTCCTGACGCCGTAACGTCCATGCATACCCGCCACGATAGAACTTAGACGAACATAACGACACCCAACTATACCATACCACAAGCATCTATGTGATTATGCTAACACTTCGCACTACTTGATCCGCCCATCCACGACCATTTTCCTGATGCTCTCAATGCTTTTCTCGACGGCCATCTGCGCCATCTGATTGTGCCGCACCAGCAGAGTGCGGTCCTCGTCGGAGCCGGCTGTGACCTGCGGGTGGTGCCACTCAAAGACGTACGTCATGTAGAGGTCAGCCTCACCGCCGGCGCCGGTGCTGATGATATTGCGCACGACGCTGCCGTCCGTCTGGTGGAAGTCGACCTGAGTGCGAAGAAAAGGTTAGATCAGTATGGAACGATACTACTCCAAAGGCGCAAGCAATAGGAAGTAAAATGACACATAGAAACAGCAAAATGAGGGACCAGCCCGCTCAACACAACAACCATCACAATCACACACACACACAAAAACTCCACTCACCCTCGTCGGCTCAAACGCCCTGCAAACCTCACGCACAGGCTTGCCATCACCCCCCGGCCCCGCACCCTCGCGGAACACGACCTCGCGCGTGACCTCCTCGCCATCGCCCTTCTCCTCCAGCACACGGCAGTCGGTAATCGCCGGCACGAACTCCTGCGCCGCGACCATTTTGCGCCGCAGGCCTTGCCACACCTGCGCCTGGCTGAGGTGCGGCTCCGCGAGCGCGGGGTTGATCGGCGCCGTGTAGGCGAGGTGGTGCGTCACCATGTTGTTCCGGGAGGTTGATATACGGGTTAGTTTTGTGGTGGTGGGGAAGGAAGAGAGAAGGAGAAGTTGGGGAAGGATTTGCGTGATGTGCGGTTGGTTGTTGGGCCTGGGGAGGACGGCGTGGAGTTAGGTTCGCCTTAATGCCGGGTTGGGTGGGGGAGCCGGCGGGGTTCAGTGAGGGGTGGTGTTGCTGACTTTCCCGCTCGCCTGCCCGTTGCCGGTCGACCATCAGGCCATGAGTGCGGGAGCCATATCGCCGGGAGCGCTAGGGCGACTTTGTGCTGGGACGGCCCGAGACTCTAGGATGGGGCGTGTAAGTTTTTTTTGGTCCAGATTGTCGATCAGATCGAAAATCCGCTCGCTGGAGATGAGATTGAGGCTAACTACGTAGAAACGCCCAGCTACACTCCGTAACCACCATCAATCGGCCAATGTGCCAAAATTACGAAAGAGAATGCCTAGAATGTCCAGTGATGGACTGGAATAAACAAAAAAGTAATGCATCATCTAGTCGATGTTTTTTTATGCACAACTCGCCATCGAGAAGGGTTGCAAATCTGCTGATAATCAAATTCAATTCCACAGAATCGGAAGCCCTATCGTAGGTAGAATGGCTTGCAGGGATCCTGTGCCGAGCTGAGTTATACGCAGCTGCGAATTACAGCCTCGCGGCCTGAGAACAACACTACCCTTGGTTTTACTTCCTGATGAGCATTACGCAGGAAACGTCTACAACTTTCATGTTGATATTCACTTTTCCCGCGTTCACACTGTCGCCACCATCGTCAACTAGCAACAACTTTGCATATTCATTCACTGATTGGCGCAATCTTTCTCAACCAACGCGCTGTTACGAGCGGGGCAAGAGAAACCCTGCCGTACTTAAGCCTGATTCCATCTCCTCAAATCATGTTTCGAGGAACTCCGTGCCGACACTCGAGAAAGGTAGCAGCGAAATCCACTTCTCGAAGTGGCAGTAACGACCAACACCCAAATCACCTCACTCGCGTTTTTGCTCAACCATCAATGCGTTTCACTGGATCTCAGCAACAGAAGTATGCTGGTTACGGGTTTCCTGTCTATCAGTGCAATGCTGAACTCACCGAACAAAGTCTAGGCTACAGACACGGAGCTCCTGGTTCACAGTTGAGAAACTACGTTGACATTTACGAACCTGATGGAGATTTGGAAGAATACCCGTATTGTCACTCCAAGGCTACCGGTCTTAGACACACGGCGAGTGAAGGTTCCAACGCTATGGAAGGTTATCATATATGTGACTCTCCGAGTACAAGTAAGTAGTCCGACGGCATAAAACGCACTGTACTGAAGCATATAAGACCAGAACCACACACGCATGATAAGAGACGACATGAACAATCTCTCGAATTCAGGACTTGTCTATCCCTTGGAACACATGGACTCTTACCGAGATACACCCCAAAGTTGCCACCAAAACCAGAACTTAAACGAATTTGCGCCAGATTTTGATTTTAAAATTGTTTTGTCTCCCGGGATTCCAGCGACGCCAGTGGGAACACCAGAACTAAAATTTCCATCGTCGATGATACGATCGTCCACAAGACGTCCCTTGCGAGAATGTCGAACAGATAACAGACATGAGGACATTGTTCCAGACTTGAGTACTTTCGGATATCCCGCACCGCAAGGGAGCTCAAGGGCAGTGTCAATGGTGGAACATGATAGAAAACAACCTCTCAACGAGCTATCCGCTATTGAAGCCCCTTTGAAGGTTTTCAATCTTGATGGGATATCGAACTTTCTTTCTCAATACAAACAGAGTGAGCATCCACAACACATCGCTCAGCAAAGATTAAAAGCTAATAATTAAGCCCTACCCATCGGAAAACATCTCGGTTGTCCCCTCCCGGAAATAACTGCCGCTGATCATGACTCGAATCTTCATACATACGGCTTTGTGCATGGAAGACACTCAAGTAAATTGAACGATCAACAGTTGCCATCAAGGTGTCCCGATGTCGCTAGGACAATGAGCCATGCATCAGAGCGTTATAGCGAAAAATTGGCCGCTGACTCGAAGGGCCACCACACTGGCTCTGTTTACGAAGACAGCAAGAGATCCTTGGACTCTATCACGTTATCTGACTGTGAAGAGACCAACTCTACTGCTTCTAACACCCCCTGCATCTCCAGGGCATCTTCTCCTGATATAATTTCGGCGATATTACCGTCGATGAATGAGGATATCTGCAACAGGGTTATGGCCATATTCGAGGAGATGTTTGAAAAAAACGGTACACCACTGGACCTTTCTCCAGAATCCGAAGGATCACCTCCAATCCTCGAGTCACCAGCAAGTTACCCGCAACTGAAAGACGTTGAACCCAAGAGACACAAAGTTCCACCCTCTGACGGTGATTCCGGTTACCAAAGCCTCGATGTGCCGGCGTTGCCGCACACAGACCTCAGCGATAACGTTTACAGTGATATTCAAATCCCAATGAGGCCTCGGGGTAACCATGGCGAGCCTCATCAACTGTCTCCCAGCTCTTCGAATTCAACTCCAAGGGGAGCGCAAATACATATATCCAAGCAAAACCATAGTCGGGAGGACCCTGTCCGACATGAAGGAGCAAAGAAAAGAAAAGGAGAATCTGAAGATCCGGACGAGGACGACGATGGTGGTCGTAAGCGTCAAAGACCTTCCAACCCACCGATAGCAGATACGCTGGATGACAAGTTCAAGAAACGAAATTTTGCATGCCCCTACAACAAGAGAAATGGCACATGGAAGAATGCATCGTGTATCTTTCCAGGATGGCCTTCTGTATCGCGAGTCAAGTAAGACACTATTTCAACTTTCTAATTACTCCGTAGGTATAATGAAGGTTCATGCTGAATATCCTTTTTAGAGAACATCTATACAGGTGTCATAGTCTGCCTGTCTTATGTCCACGGTGCTATAAGCAGTTCTCCAGTGATACAGAACGGAATGAGCACTTGAGAGCAAAAGCCTCAGCGATGTGTGACGGCGTCGCTTCACCGCCAACTATTGAAGGCTTCGACGAAGAGCAAGAAAAACAATTGAGACGCAGATCTAGAGGGACGGGAGAGTCAGGCGAAGACAAATGGAGAGCTGTATATCGTATCCTCTTTCCTCAGGATGCGGAACAAAGAATCCCATCGCCCTGTAAGTCTTTGCCAAGCATTGTCTATGCTTAGCACAGACTTGGATACTAACTGGGAACTAGACTGCGACGGTGCTCCATCAACTTCCCCCGATTCAGAAACTCTGGCTCGATACGATGAATTCTCCAAAAAAGAGCTACCCAAGCTCGTTAAGGAAGACGTACTGAAATTGATCAAGGGAATAACACCGCAACTTGTTGAGTTAATGACGAGCACACTCCCCGATATAGTGGGTAGAGCTCAAAGGATCATCTATGACCAATTTCTGCAGAATGAGTCGGGAGAACATCCATACAGTGGAGAAAGCAGCAAGTCTGCAGCCGAACAGCCCCATTGCCACAACAAAACACAAGCCATTCGGGAGATGATTACGCCCCTCCCCCAGGTTGATGAAACAACCTATCCAATGCCGACGCTGGAAGAGACTCAGAATAATCATAACCAGATAAAGCCACAATCCAACACAGCATTCGACTCTGGTTATGGTTCTCAGGCAAGTCAACACATGCCCTCGGTTTCTGGTCCCCCGGGATATGAGTTATACGACATAGAGGGTTTTGATCCCAGAATGAATAATCCAGCTTCCTTGGAGCTTACGGGAAATGAATTTTTCTCCGACTTGACGGATTTTACAGGTCCCTCTCAACCAAGGGATGAAGCGATGGGCGCTATAGACTTTGATTTACTTATGCCAGATGGCGATGAAGACCTGCTTTCAGGTCATGGTAGTTTTCCGAACTACCATTGAGCATTAGAACATGTCTGACTACGTTTCATCTTTTCCCGCACATTCCATTATACTTTTCCTTTCCGGCGCATTATTTGAAAGAATGTCGACTCGCTATTTCATCTTCTACTATTTAAGATTTCGTTTGTTTATAACATGATATTATTGGAGGTTGGAGTACAATATCACGTTTGAAGCGAACTGTCCTACACCGCAGACAAACCACCAGTGCAACAGTGACTAATTCTGCTGTCTATATCGAGATATGAGCACTGCCACTTATCAACCCTCTAATATATAGGTCTTGGTTTACTTCACACACTCCACTGGAGTGTTTTGATTGTACTTTCACACTCAACTATCTATCCAAATAAGGAAGAGGCTGACGCGCATTGTAGTCCGTATACCACGGCATTCACCATTGTCTCAGCGCCACAAACGTGTTAGCATATCAATTTCACATATAACAGCAACACAGCACCTCAGCCTCTCAAAGCCATGCCCCCCAGAAGCTTTAGTGAATGTGTGTTCTGTGTTACCAACCCATAGACGCTAGCAGGCTTAGTAAGCGCAGCTGCCTACATTGTCACTACTTAAAACCCTCTCTCGTTCAACAACCTCTCAATTGATTCGACCTCCAACAACCTCACATCCACCACAGCAGCAGCAGCATTCTGTGCGGTCCTGCAGAGCAACTGACCCGTCGTACTATCCTCGCCAGCCCGCGGCCTGCGTGTCTGTGACTCGGTCCCTCAGAGACGTCGTCGGTCACCGACTTGCGATGGTGCCTTGTGACTCGGTCCTTCAGAGAAGCTTCGGCGTCCTACGTACTGTCCTCGCACCGTCAACGTCTGGTGTTCGTGACTCGGTCCTTCAGAGACAACGCCGGCGTCCTATGTACTGTCCTCGCTCGCATCGCCAACGGCCGTGTCTGTGATTTGGTCCCGCAGAGGCTTTTCCTCAGTACTGCCTCGGTGCGCTGCTTGCTTACGTGGTTGTCTTGAGTCGGGGCTGCTCTGCTTGTCTGAAAGCCCGGATGGGTGGGTTCTTGACTGCGTGAATGCGCGTCAGGGGACTTGTGTTTGATTGAAGCTTCTTCCTCTTGTGCCCGTCTTTGGTTGCTGACTGACACTGCTTAGGACAGATTGGTTTTTTGCCGCATACAGCTTTGGCCTTGTGCGCAATCTAGCAGTGAATGTCGCCCCACTGGTACTCACGCGTTTCAAGCACGTCAGCAAGCTCGCACGGGGCATATCTCACTTCCAGTTGGCATGAATGTGAAAGCATAACAGCAAAGCCATTGAGTCTCACTTACAAGAATGGAAACAAACACTGAAGAACAACGTAAAGAACAATGTAAAGAACAACTTAAAGAAAGGATATCACCAAAACACAACACAACAAGGACTTGGAAGATCTGCTCACCCTCTCTGGGGTTTTCGCTCATACTAGGTGAAAAAACACGTTCACATATATCTGCACAAAGCAGCCCTCACAATAATCTACCTATCACACACGAGCACACCTATCCGCAGATCAAAATACAAAACAAAACGAAACGCTGTCATACAAGCTCCGCACCACACGCCAAGTCGTGTATATACATCCACACCATCGCATTAAAGCCACATCTATCCACCTCTCCAACCCTAAGCACTAAAAACCACCTCAACACAAACAAACGACGTAAAAGAACGTAGAAGACATAACACTATAAATCGTCTCACATGACCTCAAAGAGTAGAGAGAGGGAGCCGTGAGCCATCGAGCCAACTGACAGTGGAGAGATGCAGAAGACAGCAACACCTCACCACACCACAGCAACATCGTCTGACAAAGGACCAAGAACACAGCGCCAAGACACCACCTCCACCAACGACAACAACAATACCAACACCATCGCTAGCCTCGCGTGCTAATGACATGCATGCATTGCGGCCGTGACCCATCTGTCTGTCTGTCTGTCTGTCTGTCCATCCCTTCGTTCATCCCACCGCCTCTCCACCACCACCGCTCAACCCTTTACGCCGTGCCGTCTCTCTCTTCAACCACCACACCACACATGCCGCCAAAACGAACCCAACGGAAAGAATGCTACGCAACGCCCACGCCACGCAACACAACGCAACATAATGCAATGCAGCGCAATGCGCCAAGTCATTCCATGCAGAGCAGAGGCAGAGCAAAGCAGAGCAACACTCACGAGGCGGCCGGCTCGCCGAGACGCAGCGCCAGCAGCGCGCGCAGGTCCGTCACGTGCTGCAGGCCCTCGAGTAGGGGGATCAGGTGCAGGAGGTCGTTGTCTGTGGGGTCGCTGATCCAGCCTTCGATGGGGATGGCGTTGTCTGTGTGCGTGCGTGCGGTGTTAGTGCTTTGTACTGGGAGAGATAGGGGGAGGGGTATAGATGGAGACAGAGAGAGAGAGAGAAGGGAGATGGGAGCAAAGAAGTAACAGCGTGCACGTACCTTCATGGAAGATGTAGCTCATCGGGCTATTATCCACAATCATAACCTTGCTCAAATCCGGCTCGACCTGGCTCAGATCCTTGATGTACGCGCCATTGCGAAACGTGCAATGCTGGCGATAATAGCGGCCGGCAAAGTACTTGCGCTCGAGCTCGAGCCAGTCAATGACGGGATCGGCGTACTCCTGCACCGACGCCGTAAACACTATCAGGTTGTACCAGCGGCTGACCTTGCGCAGGAACTCGTCGCAGTAGGGCCGCTTGTGCACGTAGTAGAGGATCGGCACCTGCGGCCCGCCGTACGTCGCGCCCCCGGCGCCCACCGGCTGGCTCAGCTTCACCTCGACCATGTGCCCCGTCGTGTAGCGCCCGCCCTTGGCCATGCTGTGGATCAGCGTCTCGTCGAGGTCCAGGATCAGCGTCTTGGGGTGCGGCCCGAAGCTCATGGCCGCGTTGGGCGCGTACGACGGCTGCCGCCGCGGCACGAGCGGACGCGGTGGCGCGGGCGCTCGCGGGAACTTGAGCTTCGATGCCGCGCCGGGGCTGGTGGGGGATTTGAGCGCTGCGGCCGCCGCCTCGTGCGGCGAGAGGTGCTGCTCGCTGCCGGACGGCTTGGCTGACGCCGCGCTGCTGGTGCGCCCTTTGCGCCCTTTGCGCTTCAGCGCTTCCTCGGTGTGCAACTTGATCCGGATCGAGCGCCGCGCCGGCGCGATCTCATCCCCGCTGGCCGACGACTTGGACCGCGTGTTTCGGGACGGGCTGTCGAGTTCGCCGTCGCGCGTTGGTGGCCGTTCGCTTTCCGAGTCTGAGGTCATCGCTACCGAGCCCGATGACGATATGGACGATACCGATGGTGATCTCTTTTGCGGTTTTTGTGACGATGTTTTCCTTCGTACCCGCTCGTCCGCAGCGTCTAGTCTCGAGTCCTCGGCACCGCTATCTCGCCTGCGCGTGGTATGTCTTCGTTTTCTGCGTGGCATCTTGCGCGCCACCCGGTAGAGCGGCATGATGATGGAGAAGCGGCCGTCGTCGTCGTAAAAACACGAGATTAAGTAGGTGGCTGGCGCAAAGACAACGGCCAGCACCACCCGTAACGCTCCAGTCAAAGCCGAAGCCATTCGTTTGGGAAAATACCACCCGCTCGAATCTTTGGCATCGCCTACAGCCTCTGGCTTTTTGTCCCCAAGCAGCGCCGTCTTCCCGTCTACCGGCGCATCTTGCCCGTTGCCAAGCTTGTCCTCTTCCCCGTCGCCTGCCCCAATCTTCTCTCCCAGCGCATGGGCCTGGACATCGTGGCTAGGCTTCCGTCCGCGGGAGCGCGACCGGTTTTCCGACTTGGTCTGGTCGCTTAGAGACGCGGCGCGCGAGCGCGGCGGGCTGGGCGGGGGTGTTGAGCTGATGCCCGAAAGGATATTGAGAGAGTTCATATTAGTCCAAAGCAAGCCATGAGCTCGGGAATGGCCAGCTCGGGAAGTCAGTCGGCCCGCACCCCACGTTGCGCTCTGCGTTGTTGGGAAGGGCGCTTGCTGGACAAGTGGCGGGCGAGGAAGCGAGGGCAAAGGAGTCAGGTCGAGAGAGGGCAGTCGAAGGGTAGTGCAGGCGTGTCTGGAGAGTGGAAAAGTCGGTGGTTTCTGGGCGAGCGTTGGGAGCTTGGGGAATGGGGAATGGATGGGGTTCGGGAAGAAGAGCTTCGTGCAGAGGGCATGACGAGCGTCACTAGTTGCGCTGGTTGGCTGGCTGGTTGGCTTCACGCGCGCCGACACTTGCACGCCAGACAGACGGCGAGTTGGCTGCAAGTCATGCAGTAGGGCGACCACTAGGTCGTCTTCTTCTTCAATCTGAATTTCTGTCAATTTTCTCCCAAAAGTCTGTCGTCGTATGACGGAACCGGCCACGATACCTCGGCCCAATCACAAGGAAACGCGACTCATGCACCACTTGGTATCACCAGTCGTCACCACCACCATCACGTCTCCACAACAATGCCCGCCACCAAGACCATCGCCCTCGACTACCTGTTTCATGAGTGGGGCGGCAAGCCTGCCGCCGTGGTGAGTTATGGCTCCAGGGGCGGCGGGAAGGCCGCCGACCATTTGAGCGGCATTACCGCGGGCTTGCGCATGAGGGGCGTGCAGACGAGCGTGGGGATTAGGACTGGGGGGCTGGAGGCAGGGGAATGTGCGGACAGGGGAGAGCTCGGGGAGGAGGTACTGGTAAGGTGGAGGGAAGAGGGGGTGGAGGAGCAATTGAAGACGATGTTGGCGGAAGTGGTGAAGGCGTTAGAGGAGCAGTAAGAGTCTGGTGACTGGGTTGGCTGTAGGGGTAAAACTACGGCGAGGTGGATTTTCTGCCCCTGCTTAGGAGATTGAGTTGGAAGCGTTTCAGTGTCAATGATAAGTGATGGACACAAAGCAGGTTGTGTCGAGGAGTGGCGGGGGAAACAGTAGGAATGCTTGACTTGTAGGAAATCTATGCACATGGGGCACGCTGAGCAGACTTTGGGCGTAGTACTGGCATGCCATAACATTAAAGCAGTGTGGTCAACGATAGTGACTGACGATTCAGAGGCGTATCTTGCAGAAGCCCGGAAAACAGTACTCGACCAAGGAAAGAGATCGTTATTCGTAACTGATTATGAAAGTTGTTGTACATCGTTAACCTGCCAGCATCAAGTGAGGGATGGCATGGGCGGCTCCCAGACTGCATATCCGCAAGTCCTTTATGTAAGAGCAAGGAAAGCAACTGTTATCTGCACCAGGTCAGGACTACTGCCTAATCCAGCCAGAAACGTGAGCGGTAGATGTCAAGCCCATATGATCGTCATGTGAGCCCATCGCTGCATAACGCCCGGATGCATATTCAGGCCTTCTTGGCGACCTGGTCGTCCTCCTGGACGCTATTCTCACTGTTGCTGCTGCCACCACTCGACATCTTCTCCAGATCGTTATGCTCAACAGTCGGACCGTGAACTTCCTCCTCGAAGACGGGCTCGGGATCAATGGTCTCGAACTTGGTCTTGAAGTCCTTCATGGTGTGGAGTCCAGTGCTGTTGGAGCGGCGGCGCGGGTTCGTCATGTTGTAGGTGTAATCTTCAAGCTCGTCACCATCACGGCCCCTGTCGATAACCATGTTAGCTATGTTCGGATGGTAGACATTGAAGCGAAGGGAAGCATAAACATCATGCAGACGGGATCGACCGGGACCGAGAAGCGCAAGGTGACACCGATAAGTAGCTAAGGTTGCGCCATTTTCGAGTAGCTATCCAGTGTGACCCCTGCAAAGTTGACAGAGGTGAGCAACGAGAAATGAGCTTACCAGTTGCCCTTTCCGCCGCCATCCTTCTTGGTCTTCTTGGGGTCAGTGTCGGTGAAGCCGGACTTGGCGAAGAACTTGGGAAGATGCTCGGGTTGGGCAGCGGTACCGTCGGCGACACCGACGTGGTCGCGATCGTTGTGCTTGTGAGAGCGAGTCATCTCGAGGTTGATTGTCCTGGAATAGTTCGTGAGCTTCGTTCGTTGGGGGAAGGCGGCGGATCAACAGCTAAAGTAGCAGTGACGTCCGACGCTCCGTCACAGCTCCACTCGCATGCCGCTCGGATGGGGTAGCCAGATGGCAGTGTAAGGTAGCGGATACTCACAATTGCTAGATGCTTTGGTGATTTGTATGAGTGGAAGGAGGGTTGGGACAGATTAAATAGCAGGTTGGTGAAGATGGAAGCAAGCTGAAGCGGAACGCGAGTTCTGGAGCTTATGGCATTCGATCAGCTTCTGCTCTCGTGACCCCTCAGGAACTTGGACCAATAGTAGCATTGATTGGGGGAGTGGAGCCACCGCCAACGGCACGCCGGATTGTTGTCCGTACCTGCAGAGTGGCTTTTCCGGGGCAATGTGATCGTTTTGAGTGGATCTTCTGGAGACAATGGGCTGTTGTTACTATCTTCGATAGTGATGGCGTGAAGCAGATGTTGTCACACGCGAGCGAACTACAGCATTTGAGGGAGCGGGGTATCGGTCAGGTACCCGCAAACAAGTCACCCAGCTGTTAACGGCCCGTCCAATGCTTCAACACTAGGATCATCAGAAGCTAAACCAGGCACATTCTGCTACTGAAGTATTCTGAAGTAGCGATGCAATGTTGTTTTCAGCCCACTCAAACGTGGAATGGGCCTACCCGTCGGAACCACGTTCCTTCTGTACCTATGCCATTCTGGGCTTTCTTGCGCAATTCCAGAAACCGACATGGATGGAAATCGCTCATTGAGCCTACATCATCAAAGACGTGACTGGCATTCCTTTATCGTACTCCTACCTAGAGTTCCCGACAAGTTGGACGAAGGGTATGATTTATGTTTGTGTCCGTTCGACCCACGGCAAGGGTGCATAATCTGCTGCATAGAGAGTCCCTTGTAGCCCTTGTCCATAGATGCATACGTGGTACACCGGTGCATCTTCGTACTTCAATAGAAAGCCATTTTTGGAGGTGCAGGTAGCCGCTTGCCGAGGCAGAGTGGAGGAGAGCGGCCACGACAGACGTCAGGCATCAGCAGCGCTTCCCCGCGCCACTAGTGATTTAGCTCAAAGCCCGGACTCTATAAGCCAAAGAAGTTTAGTGCGACAGAACCCACATATTACGGGTAAGCAGCCTGGCAGACGATCAATCCATGGCCTGCAGGTCTACAAAACTTGTCACAACATTTGGGCTGGTCAGCAGCATCTGACTGTCAAAGGTATGCGAAAGGCTACGCAAAACCCAGCCGGATATACCGACGAACGCCGTTTTAAGAGTCTGAGTCTACCTACCTATTCTTAAGCTATATTTATAACCAGCCATAATTATACTGTATATATATATATTTAATTATGATTTATTATAAGCTGACACCTAGCTCTCCCCAACCTTTTTTATTTCGCTCCCTACCTTACTCTGCTCACGCCCTTAAAGTATTCACCGTTAGTAGCACTCTTGATAAATATTACTATTAAAAACCTCCACTTTCCCCTAACAATCGCTTATCCTACTAAATTTATTAATATGTAGTATGTTTGTCGGGCTTCTTGCGCCCAAGGAAGGTTAGCAAGTGTAACTAAGTAACTTTTATCTCCTTGGTAATGATATCTGAATTTATCGCTTATTTGTGGAGAATTTGGTGTTGTAAAAGGGTACGATTGCGTCACATTGTAGCTAGCATACCTAAGTAGATAGCTGTCAGATGAGATGAAGGCAGGCTTTAGGTCTACTTCCAAGGGTCGCATACAACAGCATTGCGAAAAGTCAGCCACCAAACCCAGATTTGACGAACCTATACAAATCAGTGTAATCATTCTGTAGAGAAGACTCGCAACAAATGATTTAACATCAGAAATTTCATATGATTGTGGCTGATGTCTGTTTGTTGTTCGAGTAGCCACGCGCCAAGACCTGTCACGCTCTTCGCGCATCCATGTCCAAACCCCGACAGCTCCGTTCTAGAAAACAAACCTACTCGGTCCAGCTTCAACACCTCCACCACCACAATACCGCGCCATCGCGTCTCTTTGCCGTCGCCTCCCCACACCATGTTCTCGCCGGATGCGACTCTCCACAGCGTGCATGGCCCTTCTTTGCGCAACCCCAGGCGGCGGCAACGTCACGATTCGGACAGCGCGAAGCATCAGCCTCCGAAAAAGCGCAGCAAGCTCCCCGATCCATCTCTCGACCCATCCAGCGCATCGCCGCTAAATGGAAATGGCGCGTCTGGCTTGAATGGTCACGTCATCAATGGCGACGAGAGACGTCGGTCATCCTTGCGACACGAGATTCCGGTGCGGGAGAAGAAACAATCAACTATTACAGCGAGGAGCAGCAAGGGAGACGGCAGCGCGCTTCTGGTAAAACAACCTTTGAGATCCACTCCGGCCCGCGACTGACGGTTTCTACAGACTAAAACTTCTAATTATGCCATCAAACAACTTCCTAGCTTACCTGAGCCTCTGCGCTCGAACCCATCTGGTTCGCGATCCCGGTCGATAGTCCGCGAAATATGCTAACTTTTAACAGCTAACTACCGCACTTTCGTCCTTCCCTCAACTACTTACGCCGTAGCGTTTACGCACGAACATGCCTATGTTTGGGATTACACCTCGCCCATCGCGACACCCTCATCATATACCCTCCCACTGCCGTATCCCTCCAAGCGATCGGACCCTTTTCCTATAGGCTCCGTTGTCAAGACCGGTCCCGCCAGCGACTTGGGCCTGGTTGTCATCCATCCGACTACGGGAAAGATCAAATTTTGGGAAAATGTGGATAGCGCGGAATCGCTCAGTCTGTTCCAGCAACGCAGACAGGGAATTGAGGGTATTGTGGGCAACATGCTCTCCGGGGAGTCAGTTGCGGACATCGTCGATGCTGGACACGCAGGTTTCATACTACTTTTCAATACCGGCCGTGTCGCGCAGTTAGCGGTAAGGGATGCTCAAGGCCGGCCCCAGATTAACGTCCAGTTTCTTCGCAGCCAAGCAACAAGCGGTAACAGCGGCTTTTTTGGTGGCCTTCGGAGCCTTGTTTCTGGTCCGGGATGGAATCGCGATGTTGCAGCTGTCAAAGTTCGTCCGTCTCAGGTCAAGGGCCAGCTGGAGGTAATAATTGGGACGGGCTCGGGATCCTTCCAACTATGGGACCTAAGCTGGGCCGGTCATCACGCTCTGAGGGGAGAAGTCAATGCGCAGGAAGCAATACTCGAGGCGCTGAGCAGTGGGTTCAGTCCGGAAATGCGCAGCCAAGGAACAGCCATAAAAATCTTGGATTTCGCAATTCTTCAGGCCCCACGGAGCGAAGGAAACGAACTTAGCCCACCCGGCACCGCAGAAGGACTCGGCTTGCTCGCCTTGGTTGCGCTGACTGGGTCCGCAGGCATCAACTATGCGCTTGTTGAGGTGGATTTGGTGGGAGATACACCCAATGTTCAGAGGATACTTCCGCTCGACACGTTTGCCGGTGATCACTCTCGGCAGATGCCCGAGCAAGCAAAACTGCTGTTGCCCTCGCCTGGACACACAGCCATGGTCGTCTTCAATCACGCCATCGTTTTCGCATCGTTAGCTGACCGCAAAGAGTCTCCGGATACGCAACTTATGGTCGACACCGGGGCACCCTTTAAGCCATTCCAGGACGTGGTTTATTTCCGCAAGGAGAGGAACCTGCAATTTGTGGGTTTTGCGCTTGAGGGGGTTACACGGAAATCGAAGTCATCGAGTTGTATTATCTTCACTAAGGGTACCGGAACGCTACGCGTGACAGCCAACGAACCGAGGACAGACGGACAAGATCTGGAGCGCATTCGGCCAACCGCGAAGAGCAAGCTTTTGCAAGCGGTTTTCTTTGGCAATACCCCGGACAGCTTATTCGACGTCTCAGCCAAACCCGAGCTGACTTTTGAGCAAGAGGAGGTGGAAAAGGCAGCCTTTGAGATTAGCCAAGATGTCGTCAACTCTGATTCAGAGTACATACCTGTGTTCACGGCGTCTCAGGCCCAGCAGTTGGGTATACGAGCCAAGGCATTGGCAGATCTGGCCTCGCATCTCAAGAGGAACTACCCACCTCTGAATCGGACGACTAAATGGCACTTGCTCTGGAATGCTGAGAAGATCGCAGCCGGCCAAGGCATCTGGGAGTACTACGAAGCTCGGACGAAATTGAAGGATGTCAATCAAAGACCTTTGCTTGTTGAGCTGATCGAAATGCTCAACGAACGCTTAAAGACCGGTTTAAGACCTGAGCTCGGCGAGTTGGACGAAGTTCGCCAGTGGTTTGTGAAGGACATCTCCAAGATAACCATGATGATCCCATGGGCTCAGCTCAGCATCAAAGAAGTCTACAAAGAAGGTCAAAGGGATGCTGACTCGCTGCTACTGCTGGTCAACGAAGCTGACCAACTCTTCCTCTGCGCACTGGAAAGAGCCTTCATCTTCCGCAGAGATCATCTCTTCGAATATGGCCTGGAATCCGAAGAATTGGACTACAACATCTTGACCAGTGGGTATGAGACCCTGCCACTGCCGTGGACTTCGTCTCCCAACATTGTCAACTCTGTGCGACAGCTTGTGGACATCGCAAGAGAAATGGTTTTCCAGCTCGCAGAGCAACACCGCCATATCGAGGAGCATGCTATAGCGAAACAAGTCGCGGCAGACAACCCCAGATTGGTGAAACTGTGCTGTCAGGTGCACATGGAACGTTACCGCTGGTGCCTTGCTCAACCGGACGAGAAGACGCGTGCGACTGGTGTTAGTTTACGGCAGGAGTTCGACGAGAACGTGCGTCCAAAGCAAGTCACGGCGCTTGCCAAGATTGGCATGGCTGAGAGCGGTATGGTAATTGCCGAAAGGCTCAAGGACATGCCTACTCTGGTAGAGCTTGTTTGGGACGAACTCAGATTTCTCGAGGATGAAGTGGCTGCCGAGGACACCGACGAGGCAATCCAGGTCAGGGGGATGTACGTGAAGCTGGAAGAACGCATTCACAGCTATTTCGACAAGTTTGGACAAGCCTGGGCAGATGCCCTCTTCGAGAGCCATGTCAGAATGGGCAAGTCGGCAATGATGATCGACAAAAGATCCGTCGGTCAAGATTTGCTCACAAAGTTCTTGCGAGCTGACCTTTCACGCGCAAAGATGAGCTGGATCAACGATGTCCTTGGAGAGAAAGACTTCGCTGCTGCTAGCGCAGCTCTGATGCAAGTTGGTACGAAACAGGAAACCAGGGATTGGAGCAAAAAGGTCGAAATGTCTCTTGCTAAGCTTTCCCTGATGGCTGCGGAAGCCGACGGTGAGCCACTCGCAAAGTCAGACGCACAAAAGGCGCAATGTGACAACGAGCTGCTGCTTCTTGATCTACAAGAGAAAACGTACAAGCACATCAAGCCAGCAATCGACGCAGCACTGGACGACGAGACCGCCATCGACTTGGTCATGCAGGATTTCGGCCGTGACACAACAGACAACCAGCCAGCTTTGCAGCAATTGTTGAAACATGGCTTCGAGCGACTCATCGCTCATCAGGTTCTCGAGCCCGGGCTGCTCATCGATGTGCTTACGCTGATGAACCACGAACGGGCTGTGGTGGAAGCCGACAACATCAGCGGTCAACAATTCTTCCTGGCGCTTCAGGCTCTGGTCGTTTCGGAGAAGCTAATGGATGCGGTGACGTGGGAAGGCTGCTTGAAGCTAGCGTGGAAGAGGGCCTTCTTGATGGACGAGTGGGCAGCCTTGAACAACACGACGGGCTTGGCAGACGAGCAGGTGCAAGAGCGGTTGGAGAGCACTGTTCTGTTCGAGACGCTCAGAGAAGGCTACAGGACGGGTACGTATCACTTGACAGGCACGAGCTTGGGCCAGACGATTGGGCTAACACGGAAGCAGGGCTTTGGGACAAATATCCCAATCTCCGCCAGCTGGCGCCGCAAGAAGTCATGGACGCAGGCTGCCGGGCAGCAGAGCTCGAATCGAGGTTCCCGTCGGAAGACTTGCGCGATCCGATCATCAAGGACAACATCAAGGATGATGACGCTCTCCAGGTGTACATCTCGCATCAGCGCGTGGGACACTGGTTTGTGCAGGTGCGCGAGCTGGCCAAGCAACGGGTGCAGGAGGAGGCAGAGGGGACGAGGCAGGCGCGGGCCGAGCTGGCGCAGCAGCAGCAGGCCCAAGGGGAGGAGCTGCATCACCCACGGCGGGAATTAAACGGGATCATCGAGGAGGAAGACTCGGACGCGGTGATGCAAGCGTCGGTCGGGGGATTTGAGGGAGATGACGAGCAAAGCGAGGAGGTGGACGGCGGCGAGGCGATGGAGGAATAGCGGGGTGGCACCTGCGGCGCGGCCGTGCGCGGGGAGCATTGGCCGGGCGTTCTGCTCGCGGAGGATTGAGTGTGTGGGAACCAAAAAAGCGATTGAGGCAGCGTTGCGTGCCTTGGGCAGAGATGAAGTAGTTTATGCGTCACGAGATGCTGGCGGACTCGGTGGCAAGAGGGCGGAATGCGGGAATGCTTGGGGGGCGGCGCAATATAGGGAGCGCGTCGGGGCATGCTGGATGGGGGCTAGCGCTGGGGGATCAAATAAACGGCGGGAGAGAGCGGTGATACGAAGCGGCCCTACTTCTCGGCCACGTCGCTAGCTAGGTAGGCGGCTAGGTGAAGAAAAAGCGGCCGGCGAGGGTGCCTGCGTCTCGATCTGCCCTGTCCCCTATTTTGCTCCGGCAGCCGGTCGAGTGGCTGCATCCGCAACGCGGCCCTCGCTAGCTTAGTGTCGAGAGCTTGGCGCTTTCCGTTCCGTTCCAGCCTCACCTCTGCACACCATCTCCGTCGCTGGACCTCCCTCACCCTACCCTCCCGCTCCATCCACCCGTCCGACGGTCACGATCGATTCCCTCCTTTGCTCCTCCCCCGCCGCCTGACGCCTTCCCACCTGCTGCAGCCTCGAGTGCAGTCGGACTGCTTCCCCGACCGCCCGGCTGCCCTTCAGGAGTCCCTCGCCCTCTCGCGACAAACCCCAAAGTCAACCACCCGCCTGCGCCCACCCCCACATCCTTCCCCAATCATGGCCTCCTCGTCCTCGAACGTCGTGGGCGTGCACTACCGGGTCGGCAAGAAGATAGGAGAGGTGAGCGACCCTGCCTTGTCCTTGTTGTGCTTTTTTTTTTTATTATTATTATGATTGTTGCAAGCCCGTAGACTGACTTGATTTCAACCAGGGCTCCTTTGGTGTCATCTTCGAGGGCACCAATCTCCTCAACAACCAGCAGGTCGCGATAAAATTCGTATGTCGAACACCGGCCGGCTCTCACCCGCTGCCCTCATCAAAGGCAGCTCTGCTAACCCGCTCGTTAGGAACCTCGCAAGAGCGATGCACCCCAGTTGAGGGACGAGTACAGGACATATAAGATCCTCGTGGGCTGCCGTAAGTCGACGACCATTTCTTACAAGCTTGCTCATGCGCGTGTCCAAGGGTTGCTTCGTATCCCAAGACCGCGTGCGCTCCGCACTGCTCGACAAGACGACCCGATCCCACGGCCCCGAGCCTGGCGGACGGATCGAACTGGCCGAGCGGCGCAGGATCGACTGCAAGATACTTCGTCTGCCCCGTTTCCCATCTGCCGTGACTGACGATTTGCGCAGCCGGCATTCCCAATGTCTACTACTTCGGCCAAGAAGGCCTGCACAACATCCTGGTTATCGACCTGCTCGGTCCCAGCTTGGAGGACCTCTTTGACCACTGCAACCGTCGGTTCACCATCAAGACCGTTGTCATGGTGGCGAAGCAGATGGTAGGCGTTTCAAGGCCTCGACTGATTGACACTCGCTAACCCTTCGCTTAGCTGTCGCGGGTCCAGACCATCCACGAGAAGAATCTGATCTACAGAGACATCAAGCCTGACAACTTCCTGATCGGGCGCCCCGGCTCGAAGGCCTCCAATGTCATCCACGTTGTTGACTTTGGCATGGCCAAGCAGTACCGTGACCCCAAGACGAAGCAGCACATTCCTTACCGCGAGAGGAAGTCACTGTCGGGTACGGCCCGTTACATGAGTATCAACACCCACCTTGGACGCGAACAATCGAGACGTGATGATCTGGAGGCGCTTGGACATGTCTTCATGTACTTCCTGCGCGGCGGTCTGCCCTGGCAGGGATTGAAGGCTGCGACCAACAAGCAAAAGTACGAGAAGATTGGCGAGAAGAAGCAGACGACCGCCATCAAGGAGCTGTGCGAGGGCTTCCCTGGTAGGGCACTTATCTAATTCGGCCTAGTATCGTCACTAACATTTGTCGCAGAGGAGTTCAACAAGTACCTTAGCTATGTCCGCAACCTTGGCTTCGAGGACACCCCCGACTACGACTACCTGCGTGAGCTGTTCACGCAGGCTCTGAAGAGCACCGGTGAGGTTGAGGACGGCGAGTATGACTGGATGAAGATCAACAACGGCAAGGGCTGGGAAGCCATGAAGGCACACTCCTCGGCGGCGCACCTTCACCACAACGCGATACCTAACTCGTCTGCCCGCGAGATCCACGGCGGCAACGCCCGCGGCTCCAAGACTCCCATGCCCCCTGGACGCCTGGACCAGGAGCTTCCGAAGCCGGGAGCGTCTCGGGCCCCTGGAGCCGGTCAAGGAAGGCACACTTCCCGGACGGACGCGGGCAAGTACCAACCGGAACACATGAAGCGGAAAAGCGCTGGAGACATCCAGGCCCCCGAGGGCTCGACTGCGGCGCAGTTCCAGAACAGCCAACAAAACCTCCCCGCAAGGATGAGCACGACGCAGAGCCCCATGGCGGGAAACGCACAATCCCAGCCAGCGGGCCAGAGGCCTCAACCGGCTGCTGAAGAGAAGCCATCCGTTTGGAAGAAGATCATTAATGTGCTGTGCTGCGGTGAGTGAGGGCTGGCAGCCACTTGCTCTTCCTGTCATGGGGCATTGCGTTAAGAATGGTGGTGTTGCAGGCAGGCTTCTGAAATCGAAGGGCGACGCGTAAGCCCCCCCAATTGATCGCCCATCCCTCCTCAGGCTATCAATCCCGGGCTTCTCCTATCCTATCTCCGCTGGCTGTTCCCTCTTCTCATCGTAATCCTTCCGCGTCTTCTCAACTTTCGGGTCCGGTAATCTGGTTCCTCACATCACTCCCTCTTCCGAATATGCATACTGGAGGTGTAATGCGCAACACGGGTGTGGCGCACGGCATTCCTCGCCCATACATACTGCTGCTCTTAGTACCCAACCCTGGATGTGTCCACGATTTCTTCCTCTAGTTCTGTCATCACCGCACTTTGTCACGGCCGGCCTTGGTATTGTAGCGCGTGGGTGGTGTGGAGACACTTCTGCCTCTCCTCTCTCTTTCCGGTCGGCCTCCACCCACTAGACCTAGACACGCACGATCTGGTTTGCGGAGGTGGTTTGAAAGACGGGAGTAGACGGAAGCATCAAACCACGCTATGCACTCATCATCAGCAAAGGAAAAAAAGCGCCTGTTGTACCTGTTTAGAGATTTTGCACTTTGTTGGGCAAAGCAAGCATCGGCGTTCTCTTCTCTTGAAAGTTGTGTTTCTGGGGGTCTTTCTTCTCTAAACTAGTAGTGTTTTTCTCATCAACACTTTAATCACTCGGAACTTCTATATCCACTCCCAGTCTCATACATGGAGCGTTTGCGCGTAGTGCAGGGGTTCTCGGTTTGGAGTGGAAGCTTTTGTTTTTTTTTCTCTCTTTTTTTTTTATTTTTTTGCAATTGGTCCTTTTTCTTTGTTTGCTCCTCTGCTGGCTTTTGTCGTTTTAGTCTCTTGTCCTCTCTGCGGGTTACGCGTCACTCTTCATTTTTCGCTACTGTATTTCATCATTATTCTTGTCTGTTTATTAACTTCGCATCCTACCGAGTCGGAGTGGACAGAACCGGCGAGGGGGCAAGCCCGCAGAAACGTAGTAGAAAGATGGGAACTTGGGGGTGGTTGAAAAACTCATCCAGGCGCCTGGGCAGATCAAAACAAGCTTTTTTAACATCTGGATATGTTGTTCATTTCGCTAGTGGTGAGGCGGTTGTGTGCGTTTGTGCGATATGATCGAATCGAACGACGTGGCGGTCCGCCTGGTTTCTGCCTCCGGCTGGGAGGCGCGTCATGCCTGTCGTGTTCCGCCCTGAGATATTTCGTCCCGTCAGGTGCTGCCCGCGCGCTTGGGTAGATGGTACCTGAACTTGTGGGGAGCAAGCGCTAGCTGGATCTTGGTATCTGCAGATGTGTGGAGAGACGGGACGACGTCAGTGGGTATGGTAGAGGGTGGGTTAGTGCGGGTAGGTGGAGTGGATGTGGTGGCTTGGTTATGGTCCACTGGGTGTTGTCTGGTGGCGTTTGTGGGGTTTGAATGTTTGGGTCTTGGTGTTTGAAGACACAGCTAGTTGGAGCGAGGTGCCGTAGCTTGTGTCGGATGTATGAGGAGAGCCTGGTACGTAGCTATGGGTTGGATGCCGTGTTGTCCTGTGGTGCCCCATAGGTATCCCACCACCAGGTTTCGACATTTAGAGCAGCGAGCCGTGTGAGCAGCAGCAATCCGTAGTAGCAGGGCCAATGGCCAGACAGTCACACAGTCAGGCTCAAACGGCTCACGCAGCAACCCCCTCTCCACCACCTCCTCCTCCCCAAGGGCACAACCCCCCATTCCCACACGGTCCGGTCCCAACCAATGGAACCAATGCGCGCGTTACATCCTCCAACGCGGCCTCAGCTCCCCACGTACGATAGATAGACATGGCTCGAGGGCAGCAAGCAGCCCAGGCAGGGCAAAGCGCCCACCGCGCCGGCGAGACGAGACGGTCGCGTTCGGCCGTGCATACGAAACGCACAGCTCAGCTCACCACCACTCACAGGCGCAGGCGCGCGCCCGCGCCTGGCCCCCAGCCGGCCAATCAGTCTGCGGGCCTGCGCGCTGCGCCAGCAAAGCATAGCAGGGCATTAGCACCAACCAAGCGCGATAAACGAAAAATAAAAAAATGAAAAATAAAAATAAAAATTTAAATAAAAAGAAAAGGCAATGCCGAGCGCAGAGCAGTGGCAAGCCGTCAACGGCAGAAGAGCAAACACGGGTGCGCGCAGCCCAGCTGCCTGACTAGGCAAGTCGGTATGGCGTGGTGAGCAATTAATCATGACGGCCTGGACCTCCCCACTGCCACCATGTCTCGAGACTAGCCGCCGCCGTATATTGTATGTACCGTACTGCCGCTGCAGCAGCTGCAGGAGGACCTAGGACGAGCGACTGGCAAACGACTAGTTACTGCCTGGGCTTTTCCGGTCTGCGCAGCGGTGCAGAGGCAAAGAGCGCATCGTGGCAGCGCGAGGTTGGATTGGGGCCAGTTGCCAGCGCTAGCGGCGCACGCCGCCCGGCCGCAATTTGTCGCCTGCCGTTGCCGGTTGCGGTCTACGGCGGCCGTTTGCTGCCCCGGCCGTCAATTGTCTCGTTCGTTCCCTTGGATCCTGCCTGCGTGCCTGTGCCAGAGTTCTTTTGTTGGTTGGTTGGTTAGTTGCTTGTCGTCGCCGTCGCCGCCCGCGGTGGTGCCGCTGTTGGTGTGCCGCTTCGGGACGGGTTGCCCTGCGGCGGGCTTCGCTGCGGCCCGTGGTGCTTGTTTTGTTGGTGATGGCGTTGTGGCGCGTGAGAGGGTTGAGGAAGGCGATAACTAGTTCGTGGTTTTAAAAATGAAGTATATATACACAACTATCAAAACTAAATGTTATCCAAGCATAGAAAGCTCACTTTCTATTCTCTCCGCTTGGTGTAGTTGGTTTATCACGTTCGACTGTAATGGAATTCAATGCCATCGAAAGGTCCCTAGTTCGATTCTGGGAGCGGAGACATTCTTTTTGCTTTTTTGCATGAAGAAATAATATTTTGTTTTTATTGGTATAATTGATTCCGCTCCCAAAGGACACCACCAAGCAGGCACACACAACCATCCCCTTCCCCCAATTGAGGCCCCAAAGCAAACGGCAACCCACCCACCCACCGCAGCTGACGCAAGCCCCAATCCCAAAAATCAGAGGCCACCCCAGCCCAGCACAGCACAGTACCCGAGCACGCTCTCTCACCACCCACCTACCGACCGCCTCAGCTCACCGGCACGCTGGGCACCGGGCACCGGGGCCACGGTTGTACCGACAGACGACGATATTACGCCGCGCGTGGGCGCTGCTGATCGGAGCGCTTGTGCTTATGGGTGGTGCTTTGCGCGCTGCGCGCGCGTGGGGCGCCTTGCAACGCGCCCCCCTCCGTCGCCGATCATGCCATTTGCCGGTGCGGCGGCCGAGATTGGGGGGATGCGTGGTGCCGGCTTTGCGTTTTGCTGCTGGTGCTGCGCTGCGTGGCTGCTGCTCGGGTGCTGTGAGGGGGGCGTTGGTTCCTGCTCGGAGATGGGGGAGTGGGTGGGTTGGGTGCGCGGAGAGTGGTGTTTGGGGTTACGGGCGGATGGGAGGGTGGAGAGGGTGGGTGTGGTATGTGGTGTGGTAAGGTGAGATGAGGCTGGCTGGCTGGCGGATTGGGGGAGGCCTGATTGTGTGATTGGGCGTGGATGGGTGGATTAATTGATTGATGTATGCGTAGATGGGTGCGTGAGGTGTGGTTTGGGGGGTTGGAGTGGGTTGCGTGGGGATGGGGGTTGGTGGTTATTTGACTGTGAGTTTCCGTTTTGTGGTGGTGAGAATGATGATGGCTATGGATGGGTAGGTAAGTATTCGAGGGGGTGTGTGTTGTGGAATTCTGTGAGTGTGATTTCATTCTTCATGTCCATATGCGGAGTTTGGTTGTGTAGACTCAATCTGGTTGTTGGATTCTTTTTTTTTTTTTTTAAAAAAAAAAAAAAAAAAAAAAAAGGGTCTGAACGAAGAGAAACTGAAGATGGGCCTATGGAGGTGTATGCTAAGTGAGTGGCGCATGTACTGTATGTGCAAAGAGGCACTGGAAAGATATTTGGGTTTGCGCTCAAAAGGCCGCGGTCAGGCAAAAGCATGTCAAGTGAGTGTCTCCCAAAGCCATCTAGCACTCATGAGGTCAGCAGCTCCTTTAAGCTTTTCTGCATTCCAGCCCACATCTACATCAATCATCACCAATCACGAGAAGACACCCATCATCCTGCAGAGGACCACTCTCATTACTACCTACCACCACAACTCCCTATCCCAGTCAACGCCAAACACACTTACCCATTACCCAACGCCCTCCCCACACACCCTAACTCCCTCTAGCAAACCACTCATCGCCGCTCCCAACATTCATCACAACCTACAAAAACGCCTCATTCCCTCTAACAGGGCTCGTCCCCAGCACCGACTGGCTCCCCTCATTCTGCGCCGGCATCCCCTCCTTCACTCCGCGCAGGCTGCTCCACCGACCCGTCCGCTCCACGCTAATAGGCCGCTTCCCCTTAGGCGCCCCGACCAGCTTCGCGCCCGTCGTGGCTGCGCTGCCCAGCCCCGCGTTCTGCAGGTTCACGTTGCTGCTGCTGATGGTAGCGAGGGGTGTCCTGCTAGGCGGCTTCGCCGCGGAGGCGTTGTTACCGCTGCCACCACCACTACCGCCACCGTTGCTGCTAAAGCGGGCGCTCGCACGTGGATGTCCGCGGTTGATGACGCTGGTGCCGGCGGCCTGCGCTGCGAGCTGCTGGCGGACGGCAGAGGAGAGGCGAGATAGGCGGGAAGGGCTGAGACGGGATGCGCGCACAGTGCTGGCCTGCGAGAGGCGCGTCGGCGTCGGCGGGGGCAGGTGCGGCGTCGAGCCCGAGCGGGCATGCTGCGAGCGCCGGCTCTGCGACATGGTGCCGCTCTTGTGGATGGCGATGGCGTAGTTGAGCTCTTCGATCGTCGGTGTCTCGCCTGCGGACAGGTAATGCACAATGTTGCCGAGAGAGTCGCGCTCCATGCGGCCGCTTGGGATGCGCAGGGTTGAGTTGCGTTGTGCTCGAGGCGGAGGGGTGACTGGGGGCGGGAGGATCATGGAGTCGTGGGTGCTGGTTCGCTGTGCTGATATAGGCGACGAGAGCTTTTCCTTTGACAGCTTCAGAGGTTCGGGTATCGGGCTCATGTAGGGGGCCGGCTGATGTTGACCCTCCCCGCTTCTGTTCTCGTAGGCGTACTCGTCCCGTTCGTCCAACTCCATCTCTTCTATTCCCAAACTGAGAGCGCTCATCCCGCTCACGTCCATGTTGTTATTTGACCCTTCTGTATCCGAGTAAACGCTCTCACTCATCCCAGCGCGCTCACTGCTTCTCAAACTCGGACTTGGGACGGGTCGTGGGTAGGGGTCGTTCCAGCTGCCAGATACTCCGCCAGTCTCACCGGGCCTCCGCCAGCGCTTTATTGGCTCCACCGAAGAAGACTCTGAGTACGCACGCGCAGTCTGCCACTTACGCGCGCCTTTGTGGCGCAGGCTACCGGGATATTGTCGTGTTTCGCTCGCACCAGAACCAGATCCGGATACAGAAGTACCATTGTCCTCGACGCTGGCGAGAGACTCGGCGAGTGTGCCGATAATAGAAGGTCGGTGGCTTGAGGACCTACTGGACGACCCTCGCGCAGCGAAGAACGGGCTGCGGTTCTGCGCCCTATGCCTGATGTAGCTCTGGCGTCTCTCATCTAGAGGACGAGTATCTAATTTGACTGCGCTCCCATCAGTTGACTCGGGCACAATGCGGACACTCTTCTGGATCGTATCAGCGTTAGAGAAGCGATTCCCAGTCGAGTCAGTCATCGGTATGAGACAAGTTGAAGGAGCTGGGCTCAGCATGCCGGTCGAGATCGTGCTAAAAGAGCTATAGCTATTGCGGACGCATGACTTCAGGGCAGAAAAGCGGCGAGATGATGATCCGTACGAACCCCTTCCGTGCCCGAGGCCGGTCAAGCGTTGTCGCGCTGGAATTCCATTGCTGCGGCGGTTGTCCCGGTAATGACCGCCAGTAGAGTCGCGAAAGGCAGTAACAGGCCGGTGGCTCTGTCGTCGGCTGGGCGATCCTTCCCCGGTACTAACAGGGCGTGTCCCATCGTTGGCTGTTTTGAGAGAAATACGAGGAGTCCGCGAGGCTACACCAGCCTCAAGGCTCCAGTCGCCAGATCGATTAAAGCTGGCTAGTACAGCTGCATCTCTATCTCCAATAGAACTCCCCACGGACTGTCTGAACTTTTTTGAAAGAGCCGAGATACGTTTATCAATTCTTGCTTGTTTGAGTGGTGACGGACATGGAATCTGCGGTGGTGGCTCCTGTGGCGGTTGGAAAGTCCCTTCTCCCTTTTCAAGGTCTCCGCCGAGATTGCGAGGACTTTCGAGTGCCCCGACTCCCACTTCCCAATCATTGCAACCCATTGGCCTTGAGATGTCTGGTTTCGATATTTTCGAGGCGTCAGAGCCTTTTCTCAACCTGAACTTCCTCGGGTATCTGCAACATAGGATTGCTAGGATAAAAGCGATGATGGCAAGGACCAGACATGTTACAGAAACCGCAATGACAACGATATTGCTTTTACTTTTTGTTTTCTTGGGTGTCTCTGTCGTTTTCACTGCCGTCGTAGCCGCAGAATTGGTTGACGTAGGGTGTCTTGAAGCAACGGTGCTCGAGGCCGGAGCCGCTCTTTTCACAACTATATCAAATGGCTTTGGATCATTTTGGGGCCCATCGGGTACAGTGATGCTAAATTTAGCTCGAATTGTCTGAGGCTCCACAGATGAAGGAATCGTGCCTCGGATGGTCATTGTGTCCTGGTCTAGCTGCAACCATTTTGCGGCATCACCGAAGTCGACTGACACTTTTGAATCCGTTCGGTCTGGGAGCAGACTTTTCAGAGGATAGTTTACCGGTTCTCCGGGCACAACATCGATGGTTCCGACTTGGCCAGTTGTGGTCTCGGGCCTAACAGAGAACTGCACCGTGGTGTTCGCTATATCTCCAAACTTGTCTGTCACGGAGACAGTGACATCTGCTGATTGGACATCTTTTGGCGCTGTTCCCCGCATCGACAGAGTTTTTTGGTCAAAAGACAACCAAGATGGAGCCTCGGCTGTTGCGCTTTGCAAGTCCGAGTCGCCAACTTTCTGGTCATCTAAGGAGAGTAGACCTTTTAAGTTCATGACCTCAATTGCCTCTCCCGGGGTAGTGTCAACAGTTTGTTGGCGTTCTGAAAAGACGAATTGGTGGTTGCTGATGACGATAGAGAACTTGAGCGACGCTCCAGCAAAGCCGGGCGCATCAGACGCGATGAGGAGAATCTCAAAGTTTTGCGGAAATGCGCTGAAGGTTGGCGTTGTTCCGGAGAACGATAATTCTTCTGGTTTGAAGATGACCCAGGCTGGCAAAGGAGTATGATTGCTCATTGTGGCATAATAAGAGACGTTTTTCCCGTCACTCGACGTGAATGTGTCATCTGGAAACCCAACAGTGAATTCGGTGGATGGATATAATGCTAGAGTTGTGGTTCCCGAAAGCTTCCCCGCTTTCAACAGAGACTCGGTGACATTTGCGCCCACATGTGGCGGGGAATCTGTGGCCACGAGGAGAGTTGATCGCATGCTAACTGATCCCGTGGTGTCCGTCGCTATGACAGTGAAATCCACTGAACCAGTGTCGCTCGGGCTGGGGGTTCCCCATAACTTGCGATCTGCTGCGTCCAGGGAAAGCCATGAAGGATTTTCAGATAAGGCATATTGGAGGGGCCCGGTTGCGGAGGCGAACGTCGTGTCGGAGAATTGGAAACTGAATGGTTGAAAGACGCGCGCAACCGGTGGAACTTGAGAGTTGATAGGGAAAGATACCGTAAGCGTCCCGCTAGCCACTCCGGCCAGTAGGAAGAGTACAGCGAAAGGTAACATGCTGTTCTGATTGTCGTCCTGCTGACCGCAGGCGAAGTCGAGCCCTCGGGGGAGTAAAAGAGACAATCGTCACAGGGACGAGGAGCGCGTAGTCGCTTGGTCTTGCTTTTCCAGTTTGTTTAGTTAGCCAACGGTGGCTGGAGGTTGCGGTCCTGGTGATGGCATATTCAAGGCCTTCGAGACTTGTGACGCGCCGCAACGCGTCAGGCGCGTTTCGAACGTATTCCCTTGCGTACATGTTGAGAGGCGGACGAGGTGGTGAGGGAGACTGGAATGCAAAGAGAGGAGGGACGTGAAAAATGACAGCCTCGGCAAGGGATGACTTTGCGGCGGGTTGACATTATTCCCAAGCCAGCCATCATAATGACAAAAAACGACATTCTTCAGTCTAGTCGTAGTACCAGTTTGATGCCCGTGCGGCCTGGTCCGTAGTAATCCAGGATGCGGTTGACCTCGTCGAAGCCTGCGGAGGCGTAAAGTGCTCTGGCGCCCAGGTTCTCCTCGTCGACCCAAAGCAGGAGCTCGTCGCACGCCTCTTTCCGGAGGCGTGCTTCTAAGACCTGGATCATGTCTTTAGCAATCCCCTTTCTTCGGAAATCCTGGAGCACACAGAGCTTGTGGAGCCAGGTGGTCCTCTTTTGCCGAACATAAAGCAGGTAACCCATTAGTTCGACATCTTGGCCTGTTTGGACGAGCGCGACCAGAATGTGAGTATTGCGTTTCTTGAGTTCCACGGCGAAATCTGATACTTCCCCTGAGGCGAATGTCTTTTTCTCGATGCGCTTCACAGTTGAAAGGACCTGCTGTTGAGCTTTTGCTGGCAATGTGGTGAGCTCTGTGATCTGGATGGCGATGACACCGCTCTGAAGCGGGTTACTCTTTAGGGCGACCATGTGAGACGGCCAGCATAGGCACGCTGATTATTACTCCCTTGGGTTGTGCTGGAGGGATTTTGAAGGGGCGACAGGGATGGAAGCGACCATTTGGTGGGTTGAACTCGCTAGGGTCTCCCGCTTCCCGGCCCGTGGCGCCGTCCCTTCGCCCTTTGCTTGTTCACGAGTTCATCCATCCATCAAGAAGCAATCTATGCATGCAGAATCATGGTGCTGCGTGGTGGCAGTCATATGAAAGGTGCCACTACGCCTATCTTATGCTACCAGAATCACTGTGATGCAATGGCTGAGTTTGCATAAGAATCGACTAGTTTTACCATCAGCCGCTCTGAACAAGCGTTGTACTGCCTAGAGGCGTTTGCACTTGCAGACGTTACGCTTCCAGCTGTACCTGCAGATGCTGGTTGGCTATGCATGATGATAGATACGCCCACCTCTGCGGGTACAAGAAGGCGTTCGTACCCAAGCACAAAGTCTGATCCCTATATGCGCCTGAAGACATTTACGTCCAAGTCAGAGTCGGCCGTTATCCCCAAAGAGTTCCTCGGTGGTATGAGAAATATCTATTCTTCGATGTATTGAGATTTATCTCAGGTAATCTTTTTCCACTCGCCACCAGTCTCAGACACAAGAGTGTTCACAAAGTCCAGTGTAACATCAGAATGCTCTATGCGAAAATATATCTTTCATTCGGGAAGGATATCAATAAACTCGCAACGCTATCTATGCGATCCTAGAGACATCTAAATCATCACAAAGGCGCTCTATATATCTCTCTATTTCAGGGTGACCAGCTCCTCAGCGCTAGTCGGGTGTATCGCCACGCAGCGGTCGAAATCCGCCTTCGTCGCGCCCATCTTGATCGCGACACCGAAGCCCTGCAGCATCTCCGCGCTGCCGGCACCGAGAATGTGCAGGCCGACGACGCGCTCGTTGGGGCCCTCGCAGACAAGCTTGTAGGCAGTGGGGCCCTTCTGGTCTGCTTCCATCATTGCGTAGTACATGGCCGTGAAGCTGGTCTTGTACACCTTAACCGTATCGCCGTACTTCTCGCGCGCCTGCGGCTCCGTCATGCCAATGGTGCCGACCTCGGGGTGCGCGAAGACGACAGACGGGACGTTCTCATAAACGAGATGGGCGTCCTTCTGGCCGCCGAAGAGGCGGTCCGAGAGGCGTCGGCCGGCGGCAATGGCGACAGGGGTCAACTCGAAGCCCTTGTCGCAGACATCACCTAGCGCGTAGATGTTGTCGATGTTGGTGTTCTGGTAGTCGTCAACGACAATGTGCTTCTTGTCGTTCTGCTTGATGCCACCAAGGTTCTCCAGACCCAGGTCCTCGACTTCAGGGGCACGGCCAATAGCAAACAGGACAGTATCGAGGTCCTCGAGAACCAGGCCCTTCTTGTCGCCCTCATCGTAAGTGATGCGCCTCTTGCCGTTGCCCTGGTCCTCGACCTTAGTGATGGTAGCCACTTTGTGGAGGTTGAGGCCCTGGCGCTCGTACTCCTTGGTGATGGTGTCCTGGATCATGGGGTCGAAGGTACGCAGAACCTTGTCACCGCGAATGAAGAAATGCGTCTCCGTGCCCAGTGCGTGGAGCATGCCGGCCATCTCAACACCAATGTAACCCGCGCCCACAAGAGCTGCCTTCTTAGGCTGCGTCTCAATGTCGAAGAAACCATCGCTGTCAATGGTGTATTCCTTGCCCGGAATGTTGGGCAGGGTAGGGTGACCGCCAACCGCAATGAGGATGTTCTTGGCCTTAACGATCTGCTTCTCGCTGCCATCGTCCATCTTGACCTCGACCGTGTTCTTGTCCACAAACTTGGCGCGGCCGGCGATGTACTCGACCTTGTCGTTACCCAGATTTCGCTCGTAAATGCCATTCAGGCGCTTGACGTAGGCGTCACGCTTCGTCTTCATGGTGTTCCAGTCGAAGGAGAGGTTGTCGTAGGAGAATCCGTAGGCCTTTGCATCGTGGAAGGTCTCGGCGAGCGCGGCAGCGTTCCAGGTCACCTTCTTAGGCACACAACTAAGGCGCATCAGTAGGAGGTTTGATAATGCAGGACTCGGACGTCTTACCCAACGTTGACGCAAGTTCCTCCCAGGCGCTTGCTCTCAATGGCAATAGTTTTGGCACCATACATGCCACTGGCTCTCCTCGCAGAGGCAAGACCACCACTTCCTCCTCCGATGACCAGGTAGTCGCACTCCTTGGGTGTAGGCGCCATGGCGGGAGCAAAAACTGAAAACTGTCGCGATACTTGGGCAAGTCGGATTTTAGCTAGCCTCTGGGGGGCCGCTAGGAAGGGTCGGAAAGAAAGTGTGGAAGACAGTTTGGCTGTTTGTAGAGGAGAAGCAGGGGTTGAAAGAGAGGTGGCGGGGTTGTTTATGTATAACCCACGGCCGCTGACAGAGCAAGGAGATGGGAACGTCCAGAACTCTAGATCGACTGACGGCGCAGGATGATTGGTGAGCCGGAGCTGGCGGAAGGATGGGTTTCCGAAGACGCAATAGCAGCTGAGCGATGGCACGCACTCACGGCACTCCAAATCGCCCCGTCCGTTTTGTTCTTGGATATCGAAAATGGCCTTTGTATATTAGTCAGCGTTAAGTCCACTCGATGCGTGCAGGGATCCCGGTGACGTCTTGCCGCCTCTCACGCCATGCCGCAGCTACCTTAGTACTCTACACCATATCCACCACCTCCATCCATTCTAGTTAACATGGGCGGACGAGTCTCTGTGCCTCGCGGACCCGACGGCCTTAGTGAGGGCTCGCGCCCGACGCGACCGCCGCGCGGCGGAATCCCCTTCAATGCCCGAGTCAGTCTTTCCGACACAGCAGCTCTCGCGCCGCCCACATTGCTGACCCCGCTCGCCAGACATTCATGGCGCCCATGGCCGCCTTCACCATGGCCGGATTGCTTTTCGTCTACACGCGCACCTCGATCCGCGCCGCCAAGCTCAATGCTCAGAAGCACCGCGAAGCCGATGGCGGCCAGATCAGCTGGCAGAACGAATCGCGCCGGCGGCATCATCAGGCCGAGCAGGTTGGTGAGACCAGTGCCGTGTTGAAGGAGGCCTTCTTCGGCAGCGGCACGGCCAAGGACATCGGCAGTAAAGAGTCTAGTGTTGACGCAAGCGCGGATGACAGGGAGAGAGAGGCGCTGGAAAGGCTTGAGAGAGCCAAGGCCGGTAGGAGAGGGTAAGGGAGTATGAGAGACCCAAAAGTCCGCAGTGTAGGGAATTGGCGTTTCTGGGAAATGCTTTGGACGAAAGCTCTCATGCGCCACGCGCCAGTGCTGAGCGTCGCACATTATTTTTTCAAAGGTTCAGTGACTGGTTTCTGATACCGATGTGCCTTGCTCGAAAAACCAATCTATCATTTATCTAGTCTAGGTACTTCTCTTCGTGACGCGTGAATGTTGGCGTTGACTGGGTGCGCCGCGCCGACCGTAGTTATCTAATCTTGATGAGATTTTCGCACATTTTGCCGGGTGCAATAATAACAACCAACCTACCCTTGCCTCGTGCGCGCCAACTGCCCGGATATCGCCCAAAGATATTCCCCAGAGGACACCTCAAGTTTCCCTCAGCTCCTCACATTGCAATCATGGCCGACACCGACTCCTTCCTGCACCTTGCCCGGCCCCTCGGCCCTGCGCACGTCGGCGCCCAGCCATCGACGGCCCCACTCAACGTCGTGGTCCAACCTCAAGTGTGTACATCAGCTCGTAGAGGAGGCCGTTTAATCGTTGACCCATCCACAGGCCATCTTCTCCATCCTTGATCACTCGCTGCGCCGTAACCCCGAACAGGAGCGCGTCATCGGCACCCTGCTTGGTGTGCGCAGCGAAGATGGCACCGAAGTCGAGATCCGCAACTGCTACGCTGTGCCGCACACCGAGACGGCCGAGCAGGTCGAGGTCGACATGGACTACCAGAAGCAGATGCTCGCCCTGCACCTGCGCGCCAACCCCCGCGAGGTCCTCGTCGGCTGGTACGCCACCTCCGCCGACCTCAACACCTTCTCCGCCCTCATCCAGAACTTCTACGGCCAGCAGGGCGACGGCACTTGGCCGCACCCCGCCGTCCACCTGACCGTCTCCACCGTCCCTGGCAAGGACATTGAGGCCCGCACCTACATCTCCGCCCCCGTTGGTGTCACCGCCGAACGCGCCGCCGACAGCTGCCTCTTCATTCCCGTCCCTTACGAGATCAAGTACGGCGAGGCTGAGAAGAGCGGTCTCGAGCTTATCTCGAACGCCAAGGACCGCGAGGACCGCACGCAGGGCGTGCTGACCGACATTGAGAGCCTGGAGCGCGCAGTGGAGCAAGTCCTGGAGATGCTGGAGCGCGTATCGAATTACGTCAACAACGTGCTGGACGAGGAGGCCACGCCGTCGAGCGCGCTCGGCCAGTTCCTCATGAACGCTCTGTCGTTGGCGCCCAAGGTCGACGCTGCTGATATTGAGCGCGACTTGTATGTATTGCCTTACTGGGAGACAAAGAAACGTGATACTGACTTTCTATTGCAGCAACAACCACATCCAGGACGTCCTGGTCGTTTCCTACCTCGCGAACACCATCCGCACGCAGATCGACCTGTCCAACAGGTTAGCAACCGCGGCGCTTACGCTTGGCGGCGGCGACGCTCTGGCCGGCGAGGGCGGCCAGAAGAACCAGGGCGAGCGCCGGGGCAAGGGTGGCCGCGGCAACCAGAACCGCTCCTCCGAGCAGTAAGCCGGCGGATCGTTTATCTTCTTCGCCAGCAGGGGGAGGGGCCGAGGAAAAAGAAGCGCCATTTTTTCTCATCACGCATCATGATGCATCTGTTTAGGGCGACACAAAAGAAACCACGGTGTTTTTTGGGCTGGATCAACTATCTCTTTTTCTCTTTCCAAGTGACCTGGAACGAGGCAGTGGCGGGTGGCGGCGGTGGTGGTGGGAAGGGGAAAGATGAGGAGAGGAGAGGGTCGAAAGCTGAGCGGAGTGGCAGGAGCGGAAGCCGGAGCGGAGCGGAGCGCACAGAAGCAAACGAGCAAGCATCGACACGGCCGGGACGGACAGGGTGGAGGGGAACTCTGCGCGCACGCGCAACAATCTCCACCAGAGGTCTGGGGACCCCGGCAAACGGGCTTCCGCGACTTCGTGTCCGTTTCTGTTGCTGCGCAGGAGAAGGAATGAGACGAATTCCCACGGTAGACAGACACCCTCTCAACCCGCCTCGAACCTATCAAGAGAGGCGCGCGAATCGTAATCCGAGAAAGACATGGAAAAGGGCCTCATCTGGCGAGACGAACAGGCAGCGGGCATTGCAAAACTGCATTTGCTTGCCTCTCACTGCCCACGCCCGCCCCCTTCCCATCCGTGCTATGCTCCCGTGACCCTGGCCTCTCACATGCAGCCTCTTCGCGCCTCTTTGCATATTTTCTCCCGGTCCCGTTGCCACCCACACCCACGCATGTCTTGCCCCCACGCCAAACGCCTCACCCCTTCCTGCTTCCCGACTGCCTCCTCCGGCACACGCCTGCAGGCAGCATGCAGCTTCGTGTGTGTGTGTGTGTGTGTGTGTGTGTGTGTGTGGCGATCGAGATGAAGGACCTGGATCGCCACGACTGCCCTCCCCAGAACCCCCGTCCCCTCCCCATCCATCCCACGCTCATTCCCGCCTGCCACGCGCGTTACGGAAGGAATGCCCCGGCGTGTGTGTGTGTGTGTGTGGCGATCGAGATGAAGGACCTGGATCGCCACGACTGCCCTCCCCAGAACCCCCGTCCCCTCCCCATCCATCCCACGCTCATTCCCGCCTGCCACGCGCGTTACGGAAGGAATGCCCCGGCACGCCGCACGCGTGCCTTTCGCCAGCCAGCCAGCCAGCCGCCACCCTATCGCCCATCCCCGCGCGTGCATGGCTGTACGTGATTGCGCGCGCGTGCGCGGAGCCGCGACGCTACCTAGCAGTGCTACAGTAGGCAGGCCGCTATCCGCGAGCTAGCCACCACATGTATAAGGTAGGTACATACATCTACATCTACACACACGCGATGCATGTAGGCGTCCGTAATGATGGAGGCAAACCCACGCGTTGCACCGCTAGCTGCTTGCCGCCTGCTGTCGACGTATGTAATAGGCAGGCCTTCATTCCCGCACGCGCGCACGCACGCACTTGGGCGTACTGTACGTATGTACCTACTATCACGCTCCTACATACATGCCTAGGTGCCTACCTAGGTAGGTAGGTGCGTGCAGGCGGACCTGGGCTCCGGCTCCGGTTCCGTTGCACCTAGGTGGGTGGCCTGGCTGGCATGTTAGGCGCTGGTTACCCAAGACCTACTTAGTTAGGTGCGTCTGGGGCCGCTTGCTGCACGTTGTCGCCCTTGCCGAGGGTCTGCGTGTTTGTTTGCGTCCTTGCAGATGCACCCCCGGCCGGTGGGTCCGAGGTTGGCCTTCTTGACTATTCGTTTGCGGTTGGTGTGTTGCGTGCTACTTGCAGCTCCTGATCTAGCTGGGATAACTGTTTCTCTGTAGGGTTAATCTACTTCTTGTAGAGCCGTCGGTTGCGTTTTTTGACACTGTTTGACTTGGTCTCTGTCTGGTCTACGTTTGACATCTTCTGTATGTCTGGACATGTCTTTCTAGACGCGAAAAGTGACACTTCATTACGGAAGACCTACCCGAGGTACCAAGCAAGTGGCAAGCAGCAAGCAAGCAGGCGTCCGTTATGCATTATCACCCAACTCTCCTTTTCTACTTTTGGTCTTAGAAATGCCCGAAATGCTGATCTGCTCCTTCCCAAAAATCCAATCAACCAATCCATCACCAGCTCGTCGTAGTGCCTTCTTCCAAAGCCGCTGTGTATGTACCATGTCATGCCGCTAATTGGCTCTCAAGGGCACCTCTCGCTCTCATGCAGCACAAGCATCTAGCTCTACCCATTAGCTCCCATCCCCACATGCACCAGCCTCCCCCCAAACTTCCTCCGAGCATCCGCAATCTCGGCTCGGAGATTTTCCCGTCTACCCAGGCACCAAGATCCCGTCCTTACACAGCACCACCACCTTCTTGAACAGCCGTCTCCACTCCAACGGATCGCCCTTGACCTTCACGAACCGCACCTCGCTGATATCGCGGTCGATCTTCTCGACGGCAATAGTGCCGTTGAGACCCTGGCTGCGGCCATCCACAGTCTTGACGCGCAGGTATGCTTCGTCGTCGAACCCCTGCAGCGCCGAATCCGGTATCGGCGGCACCGGCACCCCCAGCCGATGCAGAGCCTCGGCCAAGAGGGGCAGCAGGAGGTTTAGCGTCAGCGGCGACAGGAAGCGTGTCAAGCTGTAGGCCGGCACAATGTCGTGGAAGCGGCGCGCAGCCTGTGTCAGAGACAGCGGTACCGCCGGTGCTGGCGTGAATTGGCTTAGGCTGGGGTCTTCGGCCAACCGGTCCATGAGTTCGTGCGACACCTTGGGCTGTGGTGCCGCCGTCGGTGCCCTAACCGGTTGGCTGGCGCTGAACCCCTCTTGGATGGCGAGCCGCGGTGGCCGCTCCCAGTCAAAGTTTGTCTCGGGCATAGGCGCCTCCGGTTGCGTGCTGGCAAAGCGCGCAGGGTACAGGTCCAGTTCCCTGGGGTCGATGTCGCGCGGCTGTGAGGACTGGGAGGCGGTTGGAATCATGTTGAAATCAATGTGGAGACTTTCAATCATGTGCGTCGCAAGACGAACACCGTTGGCTGTGGTCCCGAAGGGGCTAAGGTACGGGTTGCTGCGTGTAAACCAAGGATGAGTTCGGATCTCCTCTAAACCCCAGCGTTCTTTCGGGTTGAGCTTGAGCATGCCACGTAACAAGGAGGCGATGGACTGGGGTATCTTATTCCAAAGTGGATCTTCGGTAGGACGGCCATTGGTCTCAACATATTCATTGAACTCAAAGCTGCGCTTTGTCGGCTCGTCCCACGGCGTGTTGCCGACGAGCAGTACGAATAGCACCACGCCACATGACCAGATGTCTGAAATGTTGGGCTCATATCCAGCCTTCAGAACGTCTGCTCTCTTGTCCCGCTTTCCCACAAGGATCTCCGGTGCAATGTATGGCGGGCTACCGCACACACTGTTGCAGAGCCGCTTCTTGCCACCCATGTTGAAAAGAGCCGCTAAACCGAAGTCTGAGAGCTTCAGGTTCCCATCTGCCGAGAGAAGCATGTTCTCTGGCTTGATGTCCCGGTGTGCCACGCCCTTCGAGTGCATGTAGCCAACGGCGTTGATCAGCTGTGTGAAATAGAGGTGAGCGATGTCCTCGCCAACACCCTCGTCGGCCTCAATCTTGTCGAACAGATCGCCGCCATCGGCCAGCTCCATGGCTATCCATGTGTACAGCCTGTCCTCGCCATGTGACAGGCAGTGTATGATGTTTGTGTGCTTGCCCAAGTGCTTGTGGAGGGTGACTTCTTGCTGAATCTTCTCCGGCTTTAGACGACCGATTCTGAAGGCGTGGTCCTTGTTGATGAACTTGACGGCGATGACTGGACTCGAGGCGTTCAGAGGGACGGCTTTGCGGATACTATTTGCGACGGGTCAGTGGCAGCAGCGCGCGACGAGCTTGCAACGGGGACGTACAAGGCGTATGCGCCCTGGCCAATTGTCTTTGACACGACACGAAAGGGCAGGTTGACTGGCAGCGGCGCCACTTGCGACTTCGAGTTTCAGTCAGCCATTGCTTGGACTCGGGGAGAAGCAACGATCACTCACGTTCGGCGGCGGGCCCATCGTGAAAGAGGCAAGAATGCTGTCTACAGATATGTGGTTTCTGCTGGAGTGAGTGGCATGGTGTGGGCTGTCATGTCACGACAAGCGCCAGGCAGTCGCGCGCCCAGGGCCCAGGTGTCGCGTCAAAAGTCGACGCGATCACGTGCACGTTACATCATCCATAGATTTTCAGAGAAGACTTCGTTGATCCTAGACAGTATGATACATCCCGGCGTTAGAGTCTCCGCCGCTTCCGATTCTTCCGTCCTTCCTGAGGCCCTTCCTCCAACACTCCTAAAGCTGTTATGCGCTCCAACACACCAAAGTTTACGAAAAAGGAAAAGGCAACCAAAAAAAAAAAAGACATAATAATAGCATCAACAAAAGCCCTCTTGTCCGACGCGTCCAATGAAGCTCTTGTTTTAGCCCTCAACTCCAAAAACACCAGTCTAATCCGTTGTGCCGTGATGAGTGCGCAGACCCAGGTCATATCCAGAAGTGGGCCGACGATCGAGTGAACCGATGCCTGCGCTAATATCCCAATTCCTTCATTAACAGAGACATGGAAACAGAAACGAAAAATTTAAGTTTGTTTGCGCTGAGCGGACCAGGGGTCCTGGTCGTTTGTTGGTAACATTGCAAGTGCATCGGCCCTCACGAAGAGGCCGATGTCGATCTGCCGCCCAGTCTGGAGCTACAGACTGCGCCATGCAGAATGTATGTCAGGTAAGCGGGGATGTCTTCCCGCCGCATAGTCGGTAATGACGCCCGCAGGGGTCGGAGCGTGGGATGTCGGCGAAGGCGGTCCATGTGCGCTGCACATGCGCTAGCCCCACTTACGCCGCAGCAACAGCAGCAGCAGCATCCAGGTTGCGGTCACGGATGACCGAAGCGTACTTCGGTTCCCTCATGAACTTGGGGACAGAGTCCTGGATCTGGGAGTTAGTCAATGCGTCACCACATGAAGATGGAATGAACATACACTAGCCATGAGCTTGAAGACAGAGTTCTGTGCCTGGTCGAAGAGAGTGGCAACCTCATCCAGACTGCGAACCATGGCCTCGTCGTCTCCCACAGCACGGGTCATGCGGGCAGCCAAGGCCGTCCGCAAGCTGTGGTCGATGTTAAGCTCACAAGGCGAGCCCGGAGCAAGGAAGGCATTGTAAAGACCTGGGAAGTCCTGTTAGACTCAATTTCGTTCACGTGGTTGCAGTGTAGAAATGACTTACTGTAAGCTGCGGCCAGGGTTTCCCTGATGACCTCGAGCTTGGGCGAGTCCTCGACCTTCTTGGTAGCCCTGTAGCTGTTGAGGAACTCGCGGACATCAAGGTAGAAAGACAAGTTTTCCTCGCAGTGCGTCTCGCGAAGGAATTCCCTGAAAAGCAGGCGCAGGGCAGGGTCGCGAATGATGACAGTCATCCGGTTGGCGTTGGAGTCCCTAGTGGTACCTTCGCGAGGCCTGTTGCCAATGCTATCGCCGTTCATCGAGTTCTTGGGGCTCGATATCCAGCCCGCAACCCTCTGGCCCTTCTCGGTAACGTAGTAAATGGCGCTCTTGGTGGCCTGGAAACGGTTGTTGTTGGGCAGAATCTCAACTGGAGCCATCAGGCCGTACTCGAAGAAGTTAGAGCACATCTCGAATGCCTCTCTCCTGTCGACCATGGTAGAGCAGTCCATGAGCCAATCCACCGCAGACTTGCCGGTGAAAGTGTTCATGTAAATCTTGTCACCAATCTTACGCTCCCTAGCCATCTTGACACCAATCATACCAGTGGAGTACTCGTTCAGCGAATCCGAATCAGCTTGCGCGGTGTTAGCCTTGGCGTTAGGACCTTCAGGGCCAACGAAGCGACGGAACACGACCTCGATGGTGGCGGTGTCGTGGTTGATCTTGTCGCTTCCGTTCTCACGCTCGAGGATGACCAGATGCATGACGTTCCGCGGCGAATCCAGGACCTCGTAGACGTGCTTCTGGTTGATACCGTTGCGCTGGCAGAATCTCTGCAGCACATGCATACCCTTTGGCGTCAATTGCCAAACCGAAGTCTTTGACAGGAAATCCGTCTTGCCTTCGGCCGATTCGATGAAACGGGCCTCCAAGAATTTCTGGCAAACCGAGCGAGCCATTTCCTTCGCCATTGAGAATGTGGTTGTGGTGGTCGTCGTGACAATCCTCGACGGGTCCTTCGGATCAGGCATACGGTTCGATTGCGAGAACTTAAGAGAGCCAAGGTTGGTCATGGCCTCTTCCGAGGTGAAACTGTGGTCGACCTTTTGCCATCTTACGCGGTGCGAGCCCAGCGGCAGGGAAACCATGAGCGTGGAGAAGAGGTCCTTGAAATCCTATTCGCGCACACGTCAGCCTCGTTTGCGGGTGGGTGTGACAAAGGCGAAGGCAAAAAAAGCAATTGCAGCTCGATTCCCCGCCGCGAACACGCTTGCAGCGTCGGAAGCCCGTCGCGTTCCGCAACGCGGAAACAAAGCGCACGAGGCGGCGGGAGAATGCAGTGCGGCATGTGAACGCGAGGCGTAAGACGGGCAGGCGTGAGATGGGCCGCCGCGCGCGCGTGTGTCAATGGCCTCGTCGTTTCGCCGGAGCCGCGAGCGATTGGATGTGCGCGGCGGAGGGCATTGGAAGGGTCAATGGGGGAGGTGCACTTACCCTGGTGAATGGCCGATCGTCGTCGGTCATCCGGAGGAGTCTGGACGAGGTTTGATGCATCTTGCGTTCTTTGACGCTGGGGCTGTCGGAGAGCTGACGGCTGTGGGACGGGGAGGAGTGATCCGAGTTTATAGACTGCCGGCGAAGCTGACGCAGTGCGTGGTCAAAGTCGTCGAGAAGGCTGCTTCGTGCGTCACTCGACGGGCGGCGGGGTGAGCTCGATGGCGGCTGTGGCGTGGAGGGAGTGTGAGACCGGGGTTCCGGATGGGGAATGCTCTGCGTGCGAGGGCGCACCTCGACGGATTGCGAATACGGGTCGTGGTCAGCAGCCTTTTTGGCCTTGGAGTTGCGGTGCAGACGGCGAGAGAGCCAGGCAAAGTCTCCGAGTTGGCCAAGGGCACTGTCGGTCGACTGTTTGCGGGCGTGGTCGGTCGGCGTGGTGGAAGCCGTGTCGGCGATGGGCAGTTTGGGGGGTGTGGTGGTGGAGGAGGAGACTGGTGGTGGGAGGGGAGAGAGAGAGGCAGGCGTCGTATGCGGCATCAGAGGGTCGCGAGGGAGTCTTTTGGCCTAAAGGGTGGGTACGGCGACTAGCCGCCTCGGGGTTGAGCTTGACGACTCGGGCGACCTTTTTCCCAGCAGACGCGGGCCTCAGGATGATCGGACATGGCAAAAAGAAGCCCCGGCTGCATCCCTGGGCCCCTGTGGCTCCCACGCGACAATCCTTGCACGATCGGTCTTGTCACAAGATAAGTGGGTTCGTATTGTTGTCACGCTGAGACGCACAGCCGGGCGGCCATTTGCATCATGCCATGCGCTCTTCTTCTTCAGCAGCGGGTTTCATTTTTTGCGAGGGCGATCTTCTAGAACAACGGGCAGTGGTGTCATGCAGTGGAGCCGTGAGCACATAACAGCGTCTCTTGCCTCACCGCTGCTGTGGGGATCTCCAAGATCTTCATTTCTCTGCCTGCTCTTCCACGTGCCCCCCGCACCCAGACCACGTTGTGCGCGGCCGGGATGCGCCGCACGATTGGTCGCAGGCATGTTCCCGGCCCCCTCTCGCGCCGCCAAATTACCAGGCCCCATCCTTTTATACTTTCAGCCCTCTGCGCCCAAAAATCTCCGAGCGCAGACACACGTGTGGTGCCGCCCGCCGCCCGCGTCCGGCCCTCCCTGCATTCCTGCATGCCCGCTTATTTCCGGGTCGCTGGGCGCCCGCCGCTCCTGGCGCCCTGCGCGAGTCATGCTCCGCCCGCGCTGCCGCCGAGCGACGGCGTCCCACGTGGCCATGCAGCGCGCGCTGCTGCTTCCCTGCCGCCACCGCGAGCCCGTCGCGTGTAGGGCGGGGCCAGCCGTCTGCTGATGTCGCCCAACACGTGCGCTGACGCTGACCAACATGCGTGGCTGCAGTGCGCGCCCCCAGGCCTCGCCAGTCTCGCAATTTGAAATCCCGCACCCTCGATCGACATTGCCCTGTATAGCGACGCCCGTCCCTAAATCTACAACCACGCGGACGACAACCGCCACTTAAGTCCGGAGACACCGCCAAGCCAAACCAATCGCCCGTCCCGCCCCAGCCCTGGCGCCCGCCAAGCCCAGCCACTAGTTTTTTTTTTCTCTCGCAAGCTCGCTTTTTTTCTCTTTTCTTCTCTTCTCGGAGCTCACCGCCAGCTCGCCGTTCGCTCGGCAATCCTACGATCTCCCGAAGCCTAAACCCAACCCCGCGAGACCCCTTCACACGTCAGGAAGGATTTCCGCCCGCTTCCCTCCCTAGCTACCAAGACAACATGTCATCTCGCCCGCCAATCTCTTGCGCCATCCCTTGTTCAAAAAAAAAGTTGGGGTCCGATCATGCATCTTCTGATCGGCCTGATCTACGCCCTCTGAAGTTGCTAGCCCCCCCTCCCCTTCAGGTACCACAACACTTGGACGCGTCTAATGTAAACTCTGTTCTTCTAGAAGACAAAAAAGACCTTCTCACCCTGTCTGTGCATCCTTCTTCCCGCTACGCTAATCTCGCTAGCACTACGCCCTATGACAAACCAGCCACAGCCTAGATGGACACTACTACCTAGTATGCTCAATTCATGATTACTCTTCCAGTAGTCCACCTACGTATGGTCTTGGCTCTATGATGCGAAAAGGAAGTCGAGGCAACTTTGGTTGCATGAAGCTAACTCGACTAGCAATGACAGATGCTGCCGGAACCCGTCCCTAACTTCAATCCACGAAGGATCGATGGCTACTAACTAAATCTCATTATCAGTCGCTAGCTCTTCCTAGGCAATGCTGTTTTAGTGCTGTTCCTGCCGCAGTTCGACAAAAGCCAAGCAATCAACGGCCGCAGATCCGATCGGAGGAACGGGCCACTTGACAACAGCAAGCCCTACTAAAACTCCAACGTACTTCATCACATCTTTTCATTTCTCTCTCTCTCTCTTTCTCTCTTTCTCTCTTTCTCTTTCTCTTTAGCGCCCTCTGTAGGAAAGTCCCTCACAAGACAGCGTTGGCCAAATCTGTCACTCTATAGGCTCAAGAACCACTCTATTCCATCACATACGACCATAGGTCACAGAATACAAGGCATCCCGTCCGCTCTGCCATCTTTAAGCTGTGAACCGGCTGATTAGTAGTTAGGTGGGTGACCACTAGCGAATCCCAGCTGTTGTATGTTTTTTATTTTTTGTTTCTGTATATTCTGGCCACGCAGAGAAACGAATTGTACGTCATATGTCTTGTTTTGGGACCTCGTCGTTCCTTTTTTCTTGCAAAAAATGCTTCCGCTATGCATGCTGAATTCAGCGTTGTCACTTGTCCTTTGTCCGTTGTAACGTCTCTCACCCATACCAGAAATTCACCATTGAGAGAAGCCGGCCAATCAGTGCCCCACGTCTAGCCGAGGCCTGGGCCCGCGCAATTCGCATTGATTGGCCGGCTTCGGTCAACGGTGAACTTCGGATAGGTAAGGGACGTTAATACAGTACAAAAATTAAGGAAGGACATGCCTAACTAGGCCTAGTACGTGGTACACCTTGCATCTACCTCGATCGGGAGATGGCGCAGAAGCCTTTTTTTGATAAGAGTCATTGGAGAGCAATGCTTAGTATGAGCCTGAGTCAACAAACAATCTCTCCCAGACTCCGGAGACGACTCGGCGCCTGAGACGCCATTGGATGGTCGAGACCACACTACGACTCACGAGGGACAACTCGGAGGCACTAAGAAGCCACCGGCTTCCGATCACGCAGCCTATTCGGGATTAGTATAGCTCTGCCATTGCGTTGCCATTGTCAGCCTCAAACGCCGTTCACCAAGCCATGAAGGGATACTCCGATCTCTGTATGTACCTCGGGTGGCTTATCCCGTCAGTGGCTACGGAAGTATTCCGCCCCCTAGTCTTCCAGCGGAAGTCTGATCTAAACTGGATAACATCTTCCTATGCATTCTCGACAAGCCTTCTCAACTTCCCAAAATTCCGGAAAGGATGTCCGTTGCGTGGAGGTTGAGCCACAGATTTGACTTTTCCGAGCCGTAGAAGGGAGCTACTCGAAACGGATGCAACGTAACTACGTAATCTTCCTGATAGTCTGGCCTGACTCTTGCAGTATAAGCGTCGCTTACTGCGGATTTTGAAAACAGATCGTGTCAGGTCTTCGATGCCCTGGTCCAAGAGCACTAGCGCTCATAGCCGACCGAGGCGTGTCGGTGCTCGTTGTTTGACGTGTGGACGGAATTCAGGCGGCCGACAAGGCTGTCGAGATCTCAACGGTCAAGCTCTAGAGCAACCAACGCGGTGCGCTGGCTTTGGAGCTTCGACGTCTCGAGGATAGCTTCCGTAAGGCGTCCTCCCCTTCCACCATGGTGTCCCCGTCGAGTGTCGGCTAAGGTTAGGCCTACGATCGGAGAAGGCGGCACCGGACTTTTGGCCGAATGGCTTCCCCAGACTTGGTGGTCCCTGAGAGGACAGAAATAGGACAATTACCGATCGGCATGCCGAACGTCTCAGCGGCATGGCTGATGCACACTCGTACGAGTGGGTGCGAACAGTGCAGGTCGGTAACCCTGTCTGTACCCCGTCGCCTTGTCCCATGCCTCGACCTCTTCACCCCCGACCTCCTTGGGCGACTCGCGCGAGCTCGCGCACTCTATCAGAAAAAATTACCCTGTCCCGCCCCTGCGTGGATACGAATAAGGATACTCGGATTGCTCGGTGGAGGTGAAACCGCGAAGTCCGGCCGTTGGATCCGCTCCAGACATGCTTGGGTTTGGCTTGAAATCACGAGACGGGCGCTAGGCCTAGCGGCCCTTGGAGTGACGATCAGGTTCTTTCCGCATGACTGACTTTAGCGAATTGCGGCATTCGGACCCGGCAAGCCACCGCCACAAACAGCCTACATGAATCGAACGAGTCGTTGCCGCAGCGCTCATGGAAACATGACGCTTGGCCACTTTCCTTTTCGAGTAGTCTAGCCTGGCCGTCTACGCCGGAGCAGGCTGACGCGGCGGGTAACGTACGCTGCCTGAAGGAGTCCGATGCTGCTTCAAACGCTGAAGATCTTGGCCTAGAATTGGGGCTGGAGCGGCACCCGGCTCATCCTTTGCCTGAGACACTTCCGGCCCCCTTAAGCCGCTCCCTAGTTCGGCCGGGTCGACCTGCGGCGACCAGTGCACCACTAAGAGGGCCGAGACGCCGTGCTGACAGCTAGGTGCGTTTCCTAACGTCTGGTCAAACGGGAGCCAAGCGTACGGGTGGCATCAGAAATCAGCCCATCGGTGACGCATCAGAGACCAATGCGGGCACGAGGTATGTACCTGCCAAGGGCACCACTTGTCCCGTCCCACAGTGCGTAGCCTTAGCCTCTTTTGACGCCTGCCATATGCGCAAAGGCAAGGCTAGAAGTCATGCGCGACAGTGCACAGTACGGCTTTCTGTGAGCTGTAAGGGACGTGTTCTTCAACAAAACAACCCTCCTGCATGCCCCTTGCGCCATGAGCACGCCGCAACAATGTCAATCGGCATGAGAACTAAATGAAAGGCAATTGTACATTTCATATCGATGCCAGTTACCTCGCCGTGGAACAAAAACACATTTACCGCTTGCCTGGGGCGCTCTGTAAGGTGAGCGGTAGGAATTCATCCTGCTCCATTTCAACTGTGGAATGACATACAGTACCCCATTGAGATTGACAATTGCTACCATGGTAGAAATTCTCGACAAACCGAGCTGGTTGATGGATGACTGATTGATGATGGTGGTAATGGAAAGAAAGACACCAACCGTGAGCAGCTTTGTAGCTATTCCTGCACACTGCTTTATGATTTTATCAACCCTAGTGCGTCTGTTCAATTGCGACTTCCAAGTTCTTAGTACTGACCAAAGGTTCCTGCAGGTATCTTACCCTTACGTATCTCTGTCGCCTGAAGCCTCCTCTTCGCCGTCCTCGATCGCTCGTCCCCAATCATCTATCCCGATCGCCCATTTCATTCGCCATGGTACAGAAGGTGCATTGATGTTGCTCCTCAGTGTGGTCCTGATGGGCGCCTCCTCGACAGATCAAGCGTATCACTACCGTACACACTCACGACCGTCAAAGCATTCCACACCTACCATAAGTGAAGTGTAGAATGAGGTGTAAAATCCTCATAATGCGATGGTACGAATTATTCAATGCCAACTGGATTCGCTGCAAGCGACAGCTCGCTACCGGCGCCGAGGCTTCGGCCAACAACGAACTGGTAAATGGTACTCGGGACACTTTTGGTGTTCGAAGTGAACTGACGAACAACATTAAGGACTTTATAGCACACTTCAGCTATTGCCAACAAGAGTAAGATCTACACCGAACCATGAAGGCCGCGTCAGACAACAGTCCATCACCAAAAAATCATTGGCTCCGGCTCCACGTCCGGAAGCTTCAGGCCATGAGCCGCAAGCATACCACATAGGCTTTAGGAACCACCCGGGCGGAAGCACCTCCTCAAACCAGCAAAGATATGGTCATCACCGGGAAATCCTATAGCAATTAGGCAGGGGCTCTAACAGGTTTTAGGACTACAATGACGATCACCAATAATGTTTCTACTCCACAAGTTATCGTCCACATAGTTATCATTGGTAGCCCTGTGTTTTTTATTGTTCAGAAGACACGATATGCATAAGAATAACCCTGTAGCATAGGACAATCAATCTGGATTCCGTGAAGATCTTAGCGTGCCGATGAGCGAGGTTCCCATATTTTTTGCTTTTTATGTGATCTGCACTTCGGAGCTTCCACATGGATCGCCGGGGATCGCGATGGATCAGCGAGGATCGCCCATCCGCGGAAAGACATTCCGTGGAGTTAAGGTTGACGAAGATGCAGTGTGGCATATGTGAGTCCGACCTTGATGTATGGTCATAAATATATTTAGGTGTATACAACCTGTCAATCATCGACCGTATGGGAGTCCATTTATGCCATGTTGAGATGGAGTCTTACGTCCATATGAAGAAGTGTCTAGAGGGTTGCAACAGGAATGTTTTTATCTGTATCTGAAAGCAGTTGTATAGTCACGGACCTTACATGATCGGCTAGACAGGGCCATATTCGACAGGACCTGAATTTTTTCATCACGCGGCTCCACAGCTGCAAACCTGTATATGAAGGCCTTATGCTTTTGTGATTATATGGAACTCATGTTACTCTAATCATAGGCTGTAAATCAGGCACCGGAGAAGTAGAGCGTTATTTCACCTTTGTACATAACTAGGAACCGGCCTGCTTAACAGTGAGCTTGACCGAGCCAACCAAGAAGCGGGTTGCTTTTTCTACGCCTAAGGAAGCCGTCAAACACTGGTAGGTTAGGCTTCCAAACATGAACACACGGATGACGGGTCACTGCTCTCCACAATTGTGATCACTAATACGTCCCCAACTATCATACTCGGAGAGAAACCCGCTCAAACTAAACTAAATATAAACTTCTTAAGACAGCTTGGCAGTTAGCCAGTGTAGGTTAAGATGCCCGCTGCCCATCAGATAAGTTTTCGGTGGTACAGACTATTTTTTGGAAACAGTCCGCCAAAAGCCTCGCAAGTCTACGCGGTCGCCCGCGCAACAAAGGGACCGAAAGCCAGCCTTGACTAGAGACGACGACCCGTGTCTGGGTGGGCGGCCGCTCACTGTCTGCCGGGCCTATGGAAACCCCGCATCTCCACCCGTCCGGGCGCCTTGCGTAAGAATGGCAGCCTCGTGGAGTCTAGAGCGATGCATATTCGGCTCCAGGCAATAGCGCAACCCGAACGATACACATTCACAGAATGTACAGCGAATTGCTATAATGAAACCCTACCATAGAGGCAATTAAAAGAGCAAAAATTCAGTGGTAGGACGTGACGCTCATCCAGAAAGAATAGCATAGAAGGACTAGAAGTCTTCAAGCTTCTGTCATATTCATCTGAGCACCGTCGCTAAGTCTCAAGCTACACAATCGAGACTGATGACCGACAGAACTTCCGGCAATGTGGCACGGTTGGAGGCGGCTTGTTTACCACAAAAGTGGTGCAAGTTAAAATCCCGTCACGGAGGGCAAATATATTAGCTAAATAAAAGTTAGAACTGGAATACTTCTTTTTCAATCTTAGAGAAGATTTCAGTCAGCTAGATCGAGTATAGGGTTTTGACAATAATCCGAAAGAGCTCCTTGTAGCCCCGGGATATGGCTAACGCCTCCACCACAGCATGCCATTGTCAGCATGGAAGCCCTTTGAAATAGCTCTCTCTTAACCAACCTCTCAGTATCCTATGTTACTCATCCTATGAGGAGCTTCAGCCATACCTTGACTCAAGTATCAAATAATATGAAAAGGATATACTTATCCTACTGCTTAAGGCAGTTTCGACTATCGCTTTGCCTCGGCTTAGAGATATTTATTCTTCTAGTTATGTAATTAGACCAGTCAGTATACATCGCTGTAGGTGTCCGAAATTAAGCAATTATCAAAATAGAAAATGATTTAGCAGTGATAAGAGTACCCGCAGATATAGCATCAACGTGAGTATACTACGCCCGTGGATTTACTTGCTGCGATTTATTAGCTTCATTTGTTCAAATAATTCAAGGGAATAGAGTTATACATTATACTGATTAAGAAGCATTTCCCCAAATTACCCCCCCCCCCCGGCGACAAATCTCACCACTCTAAACACCAAGCTCTCCACACTCCCACAAACACCCTAAAACGGTCGCCCCGAAGAGCCCCATTGAGGCGAGGGTGAAGGCGTGATAAGCTTGTTCCCATGGTTCCTCAAGTGTTGCTTCTGCTCCTCCAATGACGCAAACGAGACAATACCACAAAACGGACACCCACGAAGATGATTATACGAAAGCTTTGTCTCTGGATCTTCACCCTGCCGACTCTGCTCCCACGCCTTGATATTCGGGGATGGCGGAACCTCACCCACCATAGCAGCGTCTGCCCTACCAAGACACAGAGCCGCAGAACGACTGCTCTCAGGACTCAGAAGCCCCACGACGGATACGCCGGTGCTGTTACTGCTGCCGCTGTATGCGTACTTCTCAGTGATATCCGTCCGTATATGCGGAAGCTTGTTACGGGGCGCAGATACCGTTGCGGCCGCCCTTTCAACCAAACACTCCCCGCAGAAGAAGTGGGCAGCCGACTCCTCGCCCATCGCACCCAGCATCTGCACGACCTGCTTCGCCGTCGGGCGGTCCACCAGCCGCGTCTGCATCATCGCAAACGTCGCCGCCAGCACGGGGGACATTTCGCTTGGCAAGCCCGCGCCAGCGCCCTGGACGAACGGTGCAAGAGCATGTAGGATGCAGGCCGCATGCTCGCTGAACGTGAAGCCGCTCACGCTAGGATCGATAGGGAGGCACTCCTCCGGCAGCAGCACTGCCAGCATCTCGACGTACACGCAGCCCAGCGAGAAGACGTCCGACCTGCCATTGCGCGGCCCATGGTCATGCACTTCCGGCGGCTTGTACTTGTACGTCCAGCCGGTGGCCGTGTCGTCCGTGGTGCTCTGGTCCAGGGCGCTGTAATCGAGGGAGGTGCCAAAGTCAGTCAAGATGACCGAGGCCTGGTGGATCAGGATATTGCTGGGCTTGATGTCCTTGTGGCGGACGGCGTGCTCGTGAATGAACGCCAGACCAATGGCCAGGCACCCGAAGGCGCGCTCCAGCGTCGCGCGCGCTGGGCCGTCTAGCCGCTGCGATCCGTCGTGGATGCCGTCTAGGAGGTCGCGCAAGCTGCCGGCGTCGGCGACGGGCGAGAGGATCAGTCCAAAGTTCCGCGCGCAGACAAATGTCGCTTTGACCTGAATGATGTGCCGGTTTGGCTTCAGCCGGTTGATGATTCCGAATTCGTTTTGGAAGAGCTTCCGAAGTTCTTCTTGCCGCGAGATCCCTGGGAACCGGTACATTTTCCTGGCATATGCTTTTTTCGTGGTCGTGTCTTCCACTCTGTCGACTATGGCATAAGATCCTATACCTAGGCCCTCGCCACTGCGGATCCAGGGGAGCTCAGACATCTTCTGCACAATGTAGTGAGGGGACTCTTGGTTTAGTGCAGGCATCTTGACAGGAAATCATGGATAACTATAGTGGATAGTAAGGGTTAATATGACGACTGAGCAGGAGCGTGTTCATAGAACGGATATGAATGAGGATATATAATAAGAACGAGCAGGATAGAAAGTATGTGGGGACCCAGTAAGATGACTGTAAACGAGCACGAGAGGCAAATTGAGGAGACCAATAGTAGCCTAGTAACTCAGCCTCGCTCAGCTGGGAAGATACTCTGTCGGGTTGAAGGACTCCTTGTCCCAGGACTGGCTTGCATTACTGCGCCACACACTGTACGACTCAAGAGTCGAATGGTGATTCGGCGAGTTTCTCCGTATCTAATGGAGTTCTGTTGCCTTCGGAGCTGACATTTATTGCCCAGGTATTTGGGATAACCTAAAGTTAGAAGACTGGTGAGCCAATGCCGGCTGCAGCTTGACTGATGCGCCTGGGGTAAATCAATATTAGAGAACACAAGGACAAAGGAAAACAGCTGTGCGTCTCCAAGTTGGGGTGGAGATGCCTTCCGGCTGGTTCTGAGCCTTCTGGTTGTCGTCAACGTGTCATCTCGACCCGAACCCCCGAAAAGAGTTCAGTGTGTGTTTTCGATCTGAAAATCCCGGTGGGTAACTGCCGAGCTACCAATCCTGACATTTGTAAGACTTCTTAGCCTATATGGATGCTGTTTAGTCAACAAGCCTTGAACTTCTACGTGTCTGCTCGGATTTTCCTTAGCATCTGTAACAACTTTGTTCTACGACGGTTGACAGCCAAATATCAGTGATGCACCTTGGAGGCATGTACTTCACTTCTTTATGTACTGCCGCAGTCTCTAACGGGGTTCTAAACCCTCAAACCTCTCGGTGCCAAGAACCTCTGATACTCGCGCGCAGGTTCGCTGAGTTCCCGTTCCTTATGCTCCTTTAGCCTCTGGCTTCCTAACATCTACCATGACTCTTTTCGGCTTAATACGGCGCTTGCAGCTCTCTGGTGGCATCTTGAGAGGATACATTTTATCCAGGAGCACGTTGCCGGCAAACGCAAGGACCGTACTGCTAAACCAGTAGATCATGATGGCAGCAGGCACCTTGAGAGTCAGTGGAAAGATTGCAAGCGATCCACTCATCAGCACCTTGCGAAGAGTCTCAGACCTCCCCTTTTTGGGCACAGCTTGCGAGGCAGGCCCAATGCGTTTTGAACTATGCCAGAGAGTAAAGAGGGTCGCTCCCGAGACTAGAGCCGGGAGCGCCATGGTGGGATCTGCAGCCATGAGATTGGGAAACCAGAGGGCGCCCTCGGTAGCAAGTGAGGGCTCGAGCCAGGGAGACTGGGCGACTTGTTGGACGAGGGAAGTGCCGGCATCGACCACAGCGTCGGTGCCAGGTGCTGCCGCCGCCGCTGTTTCTGTCTGGCCAGTCTCCGGACCCCAGATCCATTCAAGCAGCATCCCGAGAAAGCCCTTGCCTGACCCTGCCATGCGGCGTATCGTTTCGGCCAGCGTCAAGAAGATGGGCAACGAAGTCAAGGGCAGCATACGCTTCCACAACTGACACCTCCATCGCTTGTCTATGACCATGCTATGTTGACGCATGGCATTCTGGGCGGCCGTCTTGGCTTGCCTGGGGCCCTTTTGGAGAAGCTCAGCTTCGGTCGTGGCTCCGGCATGGGCGGCGGCGGCTCGCTTCAGCGGGACGGTGGAGACGAGGCGCAACTGAGCCGTGCGGGCGGGCAGGTAAAAGAAGGGGAAGATGAATAAGCCGCGCATGACGAGGGCGGAGACGGGGATGGCGTAGGCCCATGACACGCCGGCAGCGTGGAGGGAGTCGAGGAGGAGGTGCGGCGGAGCGCAGATGACGTCGAGCACGGCGCCGGCATGGCGGCGGGCGGGGGTGGCATGGAAGCTGCGACGCGAGAGGGGCGACGGACGGAGCAGCAGCTGGCGGCGGAGCAGCAATGGCGGGGGGCGCATGGCAGCAGAGAGGTGATGGCTCAAATCAATGAGGGGAGAAGCGTATTTCTGAGCATCGGCTCGGCCCGAGTGGTGGTCGGGGAGATCGCAAGGCGGAGCTTGAGCCACATGATGCATGGCTTGATTCCTCACTCTGAACACCTATGCGCTCTCAAGTATACGAGCAGGAACCATGATACCGCCCGCGATCCTCCTCGCCGCCTTGCCGCTCGCCCTCTGGCGCTCCGACTCGCCGCTCAGCGCCGCTCTGGCCAAGCTCTGTACGCTGCTCTATGTCGCAATCCGCGTGCTGCCCCTCGTCGTCAGGCTGGCCGGCATTGGCCTGGGCAGACACATCCGTGCCAGGACGCAGCCGCGGAGGGAGCTGCTGCTGGCCAGGCTGGCAGCCGACGAGAAGGAGTACAAGGCCAAGCAGCAGAAGCGGGGCGAAGACGACGACTGGGAGAAGGTCGACCAGTCCTCGGGCTCGTCGTCGCCGGCAGACGTAGTCGACAAGGAGTGGAAGGGCGTCGTTGGCTTCTTCCATCCCTTCTGGTAAGCAAGCTCGCCCGTGGCGCCTGCCGCCCTTGTCCACGACACCCCAAACTGACGCGTTACACTACAGCAATGCGGGCGGCGGCGGAGAACGAGTGCTCTGGGCAGCTATCCGCACCACTCAAAAGCGCTATCCCAATGCCCTCTGCGTCGTATACACGGGAGATCACGACGTCGACAAGGCCGCCATTCTCCAACGAGTCGAGGTAAATTTGGCAGCCCGCTTGCGAGCAAACGCCCCACTGACACCCACCAGGACCGCTTCAACATCCACTTGCACCCGCCCACCGTCGCCTTCCTCTATGTCTCTACCCGCCACTACGTCCTCGCCAGCACCTGGCCTCACTTCACCCTCCTGGGCCAATCGATTGGCTCCCTGATCCTCGCCCACGATGCCCTCTCGCTGCTCGTGCCCGACATCTTCATCGACACCATGGGCTACGCATTTGCACTCGGACTCTGCAAGTTCTACTTCCCCTTGGTTCCCACGGGCGCATACGTTCACTATCCGACAATCTCCACCGACATGCTCGACTCACTGAGCGCCACGGACCTTGAACGGGAGGGCAAAATTCGGGGCGTGAATTCGGGCGCCGGACAGGGCATCAAGGGCACATTGAAGAGATGGTATTGGCTTCTCTTTGCCAAGTTGTACAGCGGGGTCGGGGCGTTTGTGGACGTGGTCATGACCAATTCCTCGTGGACTCAGAAGCACATGGAGAACCTCTGGGGCCCAAGGCCGGAGCGGGTTTCGTGCTTCGATTCCTTGGTGCTCTCGCACGCGCTGTCACGCAAGGGAGTTCCCACGGAGCACGCGGTATATCCGATCGAAGTCGTGTTCCCACCCGTGGCCGTCGAAGAGCTGGAGCAGCAAATCGAGGTGTCGGAGGCGACCGAGGCGGAGCGAGGACCCTACCTTCTCTACATTGCGCAATTCAGGCCGGAGAAGAACCACCAGCTGATCCTAGACGCGTTTGCCGAGCTGCTGGGTACGTGGCCCCAGGAGTCGGAGAAGCCCAAGCTGGTGCTGATCGGCTCCGTCCGCAACCCCGAGGATGCAACGCGGGTGTACAACCTGCGGCTGCTGGCCCACGAGCTGCGGGTCAAGGAGTCGGTCGAGTTCATCTGCGACGCGACGTGGGCGCAGATTCTGGCATGGCTGGGGCGGGCGAGCGTAGGCATCAACGGCATGTGGAACGAGCACTTTGGAATTGGCGTGGTCGAGTACCAGGCGGCCGGGCTGATCAGCGTGGTCAACGACAGCGGCGGGCCGAAAGTGGACATAGTGACGGAAGTGGACGGGGAGGCGACGGGTGAGTTGGGCGGGGCGGTTGTTCACGAGTGTTTGCTGACTCGGCAGGTTTCCATGCCACGACAGCGGGCCAGTTCGCCGAGGGCTTCAGGCGGGCGCTCGGGCTGTCGGGGCCAGAGCGGGTTGCGATGCGTTTGCGGGCGCGCCGCAGCGCAGGACGCTTCACGGAGGCGGAGTTTGCGGCGCGGTGGGCGCGACAGATGGAGCGGCTGGTGGAGGTGCAGCGGGCGTTGGGTGGTTGAAATTAAGGAATGGAATGGTGTTGGCATTGGTAGGGATGTCGGGGGCATCAGCCCTAGGGCGCGGCCGCGTGGTCGGCGGCCTCGTTTATCGCTAGATAGATCAGTCGAAACGCAAGCCTCACCGAACAACAATGAGGCGGGCGACGCATCATCTCGCTTCTCCCGACGGCCCACGACAGCGCGGAGTTAGCGGATTCGGCAGGCTGCCGACATGAGACCCAAGCAAAGGGTGAGGCGGTGTGCGGCGAGAGACCAGCAGAGCGTCCTGGCTTGTACAGCGCCCGCCTCAGGATCCTTGCGTCAGAAGCCATCGAATTCCTCGCCCTAGCCGGTGATGCAAAACACTACGTCCTGCCGCAACCGTCGGGCGATCCGGTGGTACCTGCAGGCGCTCGCTTTATCATGCTTCCGCCGCGCTCCTCTGGAGCCATGACCCTTCAAAGACCACAGGTACCCAGCCCCCCTGCCACTGACTCGGCCTGACTGCCTTTGTGACAATGCTAACCCCTCGTCAGCCTTTATCCTATGGCCTCGCAGACCCACGACAACTCCCGCCGCGCCTCCCAGATGTCCTACGAGGCCTCTGACGGCGCCTCCCTGCGCTACCCCGTCGCACAGCCGCCCGCCGAGACGTACCACCGCCGTCCTGAGCTCATGGGTGTCCGCCGCAAGAGGAGCGGCTCCGAGTTCCGCGAAGACCACCCCCACGGCTTCGGCGCCGCCCCCGACGACGACGAGGCCCGCAAGGCCATCGCCCTGGACCAAGGCAAGACGCTGCTGACCGACGCCGACATCCTCTCCGATCTGTGCTCGTGGATAGAAAAGTCGTCCAAGGGCCACAAGGGCGCCCGCCTCGCCCACAACTTTGCCCAGGCCACCTCGTACCCGCCCATCACCAAGCACTCGCTGAGCGAACTCGACATTGGCGCCATCATCAACAACCCCAAGCTGCGCCATGACGTTAACTTTGACCGCGAACTCCACTTCAGGCCCAACTTTGACGGTGCCAAGGGCAAGTTCAAGCTCAAGACGGCCGAGGAGTACTGGAATGCCCTCGCGGCCGAGCTGGACCTCTACGGCTTCCTGCTCAACGGTGCCACGACTCTCACCTCCAAGCAAGGGGCCTCCTGGTCGCGCATCGTCCAGATTGCGCAGAGGAGGATACCGTTGATGTTCGACGCCATCAGGGAAATCATAAAGAGTTTGGTCCCGGAGAGAGATCAGAGCAGGGTCGACGAACAACTCGACACCCCGATGCTGATGCAGCAGATCAGTAAAGGCGTGTGCGACCTGCCCAGCGTAGCCAAGTGGCTTTCTCATCTTTTGAAGGCTCACTGCGCTCCCGTCCGAGATGAGTGGGTGGACAAGATGGTCCAGCAGATCGACGACGGCGCGCAGACTGGCAACGGGCGATCTTTGGTTGGCGGCTTGAGGGAGCTCCTGGGAATCCTCGAAGCCATGAAACTGGTAAGTCAGCGACAGCCTGTTAGTCTCGGGGAGTCTTTTTGTTTTTAATGCTGACCTTGCCAGGATGTTGCAAACCACCAAATTCGCCATCTCCGCGCTCTTTTGATCGAAGACACTGTCAACTTTGAACAAAAGTATCACTTGGATCGGATCTCTCGTCGTCGCATCTTGGTTGAACGGTCACAATGCTGGTTTGCTCAGCACGCAATCACGTCTCGGGGCATATTGGCAGACCAGAGGGCCAAGGACCGGGGCTTGAGGGTGGTCGTCCGGGGCTTGCTCTCGCTAATCACTTCTTCAGACCGACAGGGCTCGTTCCCAGAGACCTTTTACCTGGATTTCGACCGGCTGCGCGTCCTTCGCGCCGAATTCCGCGACCAGGTCTATCTCGGTGTCTGCGTCGACACGTACAAGTCTCTTCTTCGCAGTCTGGGATACAACGGAACGATTTCAGGCCTAAGTCAACAGGCTCTCCGTGGTGCTATTGCCGCCATAGTCTCCGTTAGTGAGGCAACCGGCAGCAATAACAACCAACACTGGCTCGTCAACTTGGACAACATCGCCGTCGAGCTCGTCCGGCAAGCTCTCGCCCAGTGTGGATCCGATTCCGACTACGATGGAGACCTTGTCGACATCACTGTCACGAGGCTGAAGCAGCTCATTCGCGCAGATTATGGCATGGTTTTCCACGAACACGCTGGCAAGCTGAGAGAGGCTCTGATGGCCCGTGTGCTCAAGGCCACCGAATCTCTGATCAACTCGTCGCCCGTTGACATTTTCAATGTCCTAATTACCCAAGGTGGGAGCCCCGTGTGCCGCACCGCACCGGGCGACGTCGAAATGCCGGGTACGGAGTACATTGAAGACATTGCGCGTCGCACCACGCACATAGCCGTCCTGCACTGGCGCATCTGGGGCCCCATCGCCTACGCCCAGACCGCAGCCTTCGCCGCGCTGTCTCAGCCCATGGCCTCGGATGCAGCGGAAGCGAGCTGGAGCCACGATGGTGCAGCTGAGGCGCCCGATGCCGAGAAGCAGCAGCAACAACAGCAGGAGCAGGCAGCTAGGCGGTGGAGCAGCGCCGATGAGCAGCAACGGCAGACGGCAGCGGCCGCAAGCATCGCTGTCGACGCAGGCGGTGCCATGGCGCCGGCTCCATCGGAGCAGAGCGACCAGTCTTCCGACGCCACATCTGCGTCGGGTCTGCCGCCGCTGGTGTATCGGCAGCGGTGATGAGCGCGGCTGGCCGGCCCCCTGACCCGCTGCTCAATGCAGCCACCCTGGGCCTACGCGTCTCCTTTCCGTTTGCCAAATTTCTTTTTTTTTTTTTTTTTTTTTTTTTTTTTGCTCCCTTCCCTTTCCCTTTCGAGTCACGTCATGAGGGGGCACAAGTTCTAACGACTCCCTTTTGTACAAAGCATCATACGTCCGGCTTTGGCGCTTCACTGACCACCACCACCTGGGCGGCTTATCTTGGTTTCTGATACTCTTCTTCTTTTTTTTTTATATTTTTTTTTTTTATATTTTTTTTTATTATTTTCTTGCGATACCAGTATTTCTTCTTCTTTCTCTTGCGCGCGCGCGTTTGCGCCGATTATTTTTTAGGCTTTGCTCTTCTGGCTCTCTCCTCTTTGTTCCGTTCTCGTCTGTCTGTTCTTGGCTTTGGGCGTGCGGTTGGTTTCTGGCTGCACCTGGCGTTGACGCAGCGCCTGGGCGCGGTGGAACATCTTTGCGTTCATCGAGATTGATTAGCGGCATTGTATACCCGGCATCTGGATTATTGCTTTTTTTTTTTTTCTTTTTTTTTTTCGTCTTTTTCTTTTCTCGTCTGTTGTTCTGTTCGTTTGTGGATCTTTTATCATCTCGGCCTGTCGGGCGTTGCTTTCACGTTTGATTTTTGGCTTACACGACCGGGGGTGCGGGAATGGAAAGCCCCGGGCTGCTTTGATTGGCTGGTTGGCTTTGCACCAGAGTTTACGAATAGCTGTAGTAAAATTGAAATAATCAATCTGACAGGAGCTGTGCCGCACCATCCTCATCATCAGAATCATCAGAATCATCATCATCGCCGCCGCTGCTGTAGGGGAGAGAGGGGTGTTTTACTTGGACGCCGATCGTGTGGCGGAGAGGATCAAAGAAAGGTCAGTCAGTCTCCCCCCCCCTGCCGTATATGAAAGCGTGCAATCGACAAGGCTGACGCGTGCGGACTAAGAATCTCAGACACCGACGGGCTCAGAAGAAGCGGCACGCCGGCAGCGCCTGCCCTGTCCTGTCTTGCCCCCAGGAGCACCAGCCAGCCAGCCAGCCAGCAGCAGCCTAAAAGCGCGCCGAAACCTTCGTCTCCGTGTCCTGCAACGCCCACGCAGAGCGCGCCTTGCGGCTCCGGACCCGGTCCGCCTGCGCCGCCGTGAAGCCCTTCGCCTCGACCGCGGGGTTGTAGCCGAGCCCGCTGCGCCGGCCCACCTCGTCGCTGCTGAGGGCGGCGTTGGCGCGCCCGTCGGCGCGCTCGTAGACGGTTACGACGGCGGCGCCGCCGAGGCCGAGGTTGTGCTGGAGGGCGACGTTTCTGTTGCCACTACCACTGCTGCTGCTGCTGCTGCTGTTGCTGTTGTTGTTGCTGCGACTGTCGTCGCCGACAGCCACGAGGCGGTTGTTCGCCCAGCCGCGCAGCTGCCACACCAGCTCGGCGCACTGCGCCAGCCCCGTCGCGCCGAGCGGATGCCCCTTGCTGATGAGGCCGCCCGAGGGATTGACAACCACACGCCCCCCGTACGTGATATCGCCGGCGCGCACCATCTCGTGGGCCCTGCCGGGGGCGCACAAGGCCAGCGCGTCAAGCGACACCAGCTCATTCGCGCTGAAGCAGTCATGCAGCTCGCAGACGCGGACGTCCGAGGCCGACGCGCCCGCTTCGGCCAGCGCGGCCCGCGCCGCCCGCTGCGTCATGCCGTAGCCGACGAGGTCGATGGCCGAGCGCGAGAACAGCGCTGGGCCGTCCGTCGCTAGTGCTTGGCCGGCTATGCGGACGGCTTGGGCCCGTAGCTGCGGGCGCGCGGCGAGGAAGGCCTCGCTGACGAGGATGGCGGCTGCGGCGCCGTCGGACGTGGGGCAGCATTGCAGCTTGGTTAGTGGGGGGGAGACGGGGGCGGAGTCGAGGATCTGGGAGAGCGTGTAGGTGTCCCGGAATTGGGAGTAGGGGTTTTGCGCCGAGTGGGCGTGGTTGACGCGCGCGATTTCGGCGAGGTCGGATGCGGTGGCGCCGTGTCTGGCCGGACGCTGGTGTTAGCCCTCTGCTTGCTGCCCGCTGGGTGGGTGTGGTGTTGAGGGGTACTGTAGGTGTGTGCGAATATGTTCTTGTTCTTGGAGGCGTGGGAAAAGATGGGGGCAAGAGGAAACGAAACGACGCACTTCTCCATATACTCCAGCCCCGCATTGCCAAACAGCTGCGCCGCGCCCGGCGCATTCGTAACCCCCCTCGTAGCCTTCATGACCGCCATCGTCGTGGCCGTCGGCCCCGTGCGATCCTGAAAAAACGACTGCAAGCTCCCAGGGAACATCTTCTCAAACCCCACCACCATGACGCAGTCGGCGGCGCCATGGCCCACCATGGTACGCGCCATGTGCAGGCCCGTCGAGCCCGTCGAGCAGTTGTTGTTGACGTTGTAGACGGGGATGCCCGTCATTCCGAACTGGTAGAAGACGCGCTGCCCGCACGTGCTGTCCCCGTAGCAGTAGCACGCCACGCCCTGGTCCACGTCGTCGTAGTTTATCTGCGCGTCGAGTAGCGCTTTGATCCCCGCTTCGAAGCCCAGCTCCGTGTAGTCGACCTTGCCGCGCGGCTTGATGAACTTGGTCATGCCCACCCCGAGCACGTAGCATGGCTCGCTGGCCTTTTTGTTCACCATTATGCCGGTTGCTGCGCGTTTTCTTTTTGGTCCAATTGATTCAAGACGAGTTATGTTCCGACAAGTCTATGCTATGTTGTACGAAGTATAGCTAAAGGTGGAGTTCAGAGGCGGAGTATATCAGCCGAGGCGTGGTTGGCTTAACCGAAGCTCGGCCCTCCTTCCCCAGTTTTGTCCCTCGTTGCGGAGAACCGAGGCATCATCATCATAAGCCGCAAGGAATTGATTGTTGCATGTCAGCTAGTATCCAACTATGTATGCCAGCATATGCAAGCATGCTGCTAATCAATCATGCCGCAGCTACCAAAGTTTTTAGAAACTATGCTCCTCATCCCCTTCGTGTCTCCCATGGATTCCATATGCCTCCCTTGCCGAGAATAAGAGGACGTAAAGCATGGAACTGTAGCACAAGAAGCCGAGCAAATCATGATGCTCATGGCTCTCTCCTCCACTGCCGGTCTCAATCATCACCTGTAAGGTCGATCACGTCGGCCTTCGCGCGCTTCGTTGGTCGTCCTTCGACGCTGTTCGAAGCCTGCGAGTTGTCTCTGGTACGTTTGCGTGCATTCTCACTCTCAGCTTCTTTCTTGATCAAATATTCCGTGGAGTCCTGTTCATTTTTATCATCAGTGAAGGCTGTACTTATGTGAAACCTAATTAGTATCTTACCTTCTGGCGCTGACGCCGAATCAGCTCCCGCATTTCTGCTCGAGTCAACTCTTCAACTGGTCGGTCTTCAAGCGGACTGGAGGCGGAGTTCGGGGTATGATGTGGAGCGCTTTCAGAGCTTCAACAGAGCGGTACTTGAAACTGAAGATGGCGAAAGGAGAGCTCTTCTGATCAATGTAATCGAAATCTGTGCGTCTGCCTGAGCCACTCGGTATCGGTATGGGTTGATCCAGCCTACAACTATACTAGTTGTCTTGAGAAAACCATGTTTTCTTAGTAGAAGAGGCATTACCCAAGTTGGTGAGAGGTGGCATTTCCTTTCAAAGCTTTTTCTGGGATCTTGTCGATGGAAGCGATTCTATGTCCGCGGCGATTGGAGGAGACATGGTAGCCCAAGTGCTTCACCCTGAGCAACTTGATTTTGATCTCACCCAGAGTATCTACCTTGTGCTTTAAGGAGTCACAGATAACTCGTTCGCTGTCGTCGTCTGGATGTTTGCGTCAGTAACAAAGTCTTTTCCTTAGTAAACTGTAGTTGTGCGAAGCTTTACCGATTGTGATGGCCGAAAACGCGAACTTCTGCATCACCCGCTGCTCCCCTTGATAGCTTCGGATGTCTCCCACTTCCTCGTGACGACAACAATTACCCCGAAACTTTTCCACGATGGTAGTCTGCGAACAGACGTTCTTGCCATCGATATAGATGATGGCGTAAATTGAGTGATTGCGATGGACAAAATTCGGCTGGAACTGCCAATTCACGGTGAAGTTTTGTCCAGATATGGCTTCGATATACTTGATTACTGTGTTCGGAGGATCCTCCGTGGTCGTGTCGACATACTCCTTGACCGCTATGTTGTTCACTCGTACTTCGGCGGTGACGCCAGGTACGCTCTCTAAAATGGCCATGGTGAACTCTCAGCTAGAAGGCGACGATCCATGCATATCCAGGTATGCTTGAATAGTCGAAGCGCGCAAAGTGCAGAGAGATGAACGTAGGGGAAGAACGAATCAACGAAAGAGCTTTGTTTGTTTGGGTTTGCGAACCTAGCAACACGGAGAAAATTTATGTTAAGTGTAAGTGAGCGTGTGAGGTACGCGTGAAATACGCGGCAGGCAACGGACAGTCACGGGATGGAAGGAACGAGTAAGGCACCTCACGATTTCGTGGAATCAGTTCCATCCAAGCTGTCTATAAGCACAAGTTACCATCTTATATCGAATTTCGATTATGCTAACTAGGATACCAGCATGCATTATCCACCGACGATATCAAGGAGCGATGCTAAAGCGACAGATGTGTATGCATTTCGCCCTCGAAATGCCCCTTGGTGTAGCCGCCTCCCTCCGTCTTGATGCGCCTGTAACACCCACTCACACATGAAAGATGAACCCCTAGGCCGTCATTGAAAAGAAAAGTTTCCCACCAAAAAGAAAAATTGAACGCCATTCCATAAGTGATATCGGCAAGAAAGAGAATGAAGCATCATGCAAAATGATGTCTGACGGCGGTGAGATTGAATCCATGCAATGTTGTCGTTTCCAAATGAATGCGTCTTTACCAAGGCCCCACGCGGACTGGTGCACCAAGGCCGTAGGTGCCATTAAGCAGCTGGTCCCGAATCGATTGTTGGTTGCTCTGGCCGGCGCCCGCCTGCGGACCACTGGCATCTCCTCCCATCCAGCCGAGGTGCGAGCGTAGCTCGCTCACAGCCTCTTGCATCTTGTTGCCGGACAATTCGTTGTGCTTCGCGATCTTTTGATCCCAGCCGCCATACTGAATCTGAATGCCTCCGCCTCTCTTTGCAGATTCCCGCACAACCATTGTCCAAGCTTTGGCCATTTCCTCGTAAGCGTCCTGCTTATGGCGGTTGTGCTGATAGGTGTCCCAGTTTGGTAGCCTGTGGATGATCTCTGTCGCGCTGTCAAGGTAGCTCAAGGACGTTGCGGTTTGTTGTTCGTTTGGTGGAAGGAAGTGTGGTGTGTAATCTTTGAGAGCATCGAGGAGCTCAACTAGCGCCTGCTTTACTCTGTTGTATGCGTAGTCGGAGCTGTTGCGGTTTCCGAACGGGAAGGATGCCTGAAGGGCAGATTCGTAGTTGCTCAGCACTTGCAATGCTGATTGGACACTTGGGCGCGGTGCCGTGTTGACCACCTCGTGACCAATATCAGGGTGCCGGTCGCAGATGGACTGGAGAAGGCTCCTCATTTCGTCGGCGCTGAGGGTCTCGAGCATTCGGGACAGGCCTAGCGGACGGCCGGAGACGTTGGTCCGCATACGTTTCGAGCGGGGTTGAGCTTGCGGTAGAGATCGCAAGGGCATAGAAGGCGACGCCGAAGGGGATGCCGACATGCGTTCGTCATTGTCTGCAATATCTTCGTCGGCTTTACGCTTTCGGGAGGCCATGGCGGGCGGCGACGTAAGCACTATGAAAGAAGGAAGGTCAGATCTGGGCAAACATGTCGACAGGGCGGGAGGGGGCATACTAGAGCGGCTTGGCGAAAGTCGGGCGTTCTGAAGGAGATGAGGAGCGGAGAAGGGAGAGGTGGCGAGGATGCTGTTCATGGCGACGTGCCAGAAGAGCGAGACGGGTCGAAGAGTTCAAGCGGAAGAAAAGCGTGGAAGAAACAGCTGCCACCGCTGGCCGAAGCGTGAGGGAGGTGGATGATGCGGTGATGAAAGAACGAGGTGGGAACGCAGGCGGTGGTGTTTAGATGCAGCTAACATCTGCTAGGCCGGCCGATGCCCACGGGTTGGAGCAGCCGCTAGCCGTCCCGAGCCAAGACCGCCGCCCGGCTCTTCGAGAACGTGCCTTGGGCAGTCAAAGAAGAACGGGAGCTGGACAACGGGTACGCTTCTCCACCTGTCGGCCTGCTGCACGTGGGTCAGAGCAAAAGTTCGGTGAATGTGCTGGCACGCCGCGGGCAAATCCGAGCGCATATCCACAGCCATCAAAGCTTCATCATTTAACTACGCATGAACTAGCCCTTCTACAACCCTGCCTCTTTTAAAACACACCATGGCCACTCGCCCGCGCAGACTGCCCTAACGCCACCGCAATGCCCGCCAAAGCTTTTTAACTACAATACAGTACGCCAACCCAAAAGAACCCCTCCGCCATCCATCCATCCTACAGGTACAGCGACTGGGCCGCAACCAGGTCTCTCCTGATCGCCTCCAGCGCCTTTGCAAACTTCTCCTCCAGATCCGTGTTGCCCATGACCTTTGCACCGTCTGCCATTTGCCGCAGCAGCTCCTCCAACCGACGGAACAACCGGATCAAACTGCCTTCGTACACATCCGTCATCTTGCAAATGTCCGCAAACGACGCGCCCTTCGACCAAGCGTACACCACCTCCATGAGCTGGAACTTGAAGCCGTTGAGATAGTCGTCTTCGTTGACCGCTAACTTACTCTCCTGGGATATCTTTGCGATAATCCGCGCCTGCGCCTGGATCTCGCGGTACGGCTTCGCCAGCTCCTCCTTTAGCGCAGGCGTCTCATTGCTCTTTTCCTCGAAAATGAAGCAGCTGAGCGTGGCCGCCGCCACCTCGGGAGTGAGCTCGTTGAAGAAACCATTGAACAGCAACTCGCTCAGAACAAGTTCGTCACCCGTGCTGATTTGGCAAGCGACGCGAGCCTTGATCTGAACAACATCCGCCTCGTTGATGAATCCGAGACGACGGAGGACACGTTTGCGTGCCTTGAGTTCGTCGAGCTGCATGATGGAAAGGGCCTTACTAATCTGCTTCTTGACGTCTTTGATCTTGTTGTTAAGCTCAACCTTGCCTGCATATTGGTTGTACAGATCAGGCAGCCTCGGAGAATTGTGCAATGGGTTGGACAACAGGCGGGACTCCAAGACCTCGATTTTCTATGATGGTCAGCTCCTGCAATATGTTAAAGACATTTGTCGCACTTACACGAAGTAGTTTCTTGAACGAGTCGTCCGTGATGCCCATATTCTCAATCGGATCAAGAATAGCGATTCCATCAGGGAATCTCTTCTTCACCTCCTCGAGAGCCTTGCGCACCTGGTTCCTTTGCTCGGCAGACTTTAGGTCAGAAGGAAGGAAGATGCGGAGATGTCCAATGGAGTCAATGCATGACAGCATGATTGGGACCACCTCCATCTTGCCCTTCTCACCGGGCGCCGGAGGCCTGACGCCTTGCGGCAAATCTTGGTTAAGCTGCGGCGCAAAGGTGGCGTCGCTTGCGACTTGCATCAAAACGTCAACAATGTATGACTGCTGAGGGGGAAACTCGGGGCTCTTCTGGTTCTGGTTCTTTGGAGACTTGCGAGCTTGGAAGTTGACCACAGCACCCCAGCCAAAGTCATAATCCTTGTGCTTGACGCGCACCAAGCGACCAGACTGCATGAATTGCAAGCAATAGTTCGGGTGGGTGATGACATCCCTCATGTCCTTGGTATAAGTGTTAAGCTGTTGGCGGAGCTCATAGTACTCCCGGATAGTCGCCTCATCAGAGATGTCCAGGGAAGACTTGTCGTGCTCCAGTTCATTCAGTTGCTTCTCAAGGCCGGAAACACTGGCGGTGTTCTGAAATTGGAAGAAGCAGCGCTCCAACATGAATTCAGGAGAAATGCCCTCTACGCGCATAAGATTGAGAATCATGTTGTAGCCAAGGTAGAACGCGGAGTTGAGCTTATCTTGCTCACCACGCACAATCTCCTTTGCAGCAGCAGGCTCCATCTTCTCGTCAATCATCATAATGACGATACCACGGTCATCGAGGCCACGTCTCCCTGCACGTCCGGACATCTGGATGAATTCCGAGGGTGTGACCCAGCGCTGAGTGACACCATCGAATTTCCGCACGCTCGTGAAAACGACCGTCTTAGCAGGCATGTTCAAACCAATGGAGAAGGTTTCCGTAGCGAAGAGGACCTTAATCAAGCCTTCCTGGAACAGAATTTCGATAGTCTCCTTCAGAATGGGAAGCAGACCAGAGTGATGTACACCAATTCCGCGCTTCAGAAGCGGCAACAAGTGCTGGATTTGAGGGAGATCCCGATCTGCTTCGCTCAGTGATTCGATGGCGCTGTCAAACACCTTTTTGACCAAATTCTTCTCCGAATCATCGTTGAAAGACAGCGAGCTCATTTGCAGTGCGAGGTTCTCGCATTCCCTCTTGCTGAAGCTGAAGACGATAACCGGATTGTAGTTCTTCATCATGATCATCTTGACAATCTTGTAGATGTCGGTGGGTCCTGATTTCTGGCCGCCCTTGTTGAGCTTCTTGTCTTTGCCCTTGCCCTTGCGCTTTGCCAGCGCATCAGCAGGGTCATCTCCTTGCTTGTTTGCTATGGAAGTCATGGCCTTTTGGAAGTTCTCCTCTTTGAAGACACCTTTCTCGTCGACAATGAGATGTATACCTTCGGCGCCCGCAGGGAAGAAGTAATGCTGCAAAGGCGTGGGCCGGAAATCCGTGTAGACGACGTGACAGGGTTGATTGTGTGTTTTCGTGATCCACTCGGCGAATTGCATAGCGTTGGGGATGGTGGCAGAAAGGAAGACGTAACGAACCTTGTCTGGCAGAAGGATGATAGTCTCTTCCCAGACGACACCACGAGCTGTTATGTGTTAGTACGACCAATTCCCTGCTTTTGCACCAAGTTCGCGGATACGTACACTTGTCTCGCATGTAGTGGACCTCATCGAAAATAACCCATGCAACTTCGCGCATAATCTCCGAACCTCTGTACAACATGGACCGCAGAATTTCCGTGGTCATGACCAAGCAGGTTGCCGTTGGGTTGATCGTGACATCGCCGGTCATGAGACCAACATCTCCAAAATCCGCCGTGAACTCTCTGTACTTCTGGTTGCTGAGGGCCTTGATCGGACTGGTGTAGATGACTCTTTGGTTGTTTTTCAGACAGTGCGCAATCGCATATTCTGCGACGACCGTCTTACCAGCTGACGTGTGGGCCGACACCAAAACACTCTCATTCCTCTGGATCGAGTAGACGGACACCTGTTGGAAGGGATCAAGAGTGAAAGGATACTCGCGAGCTGGCTTCTCCGGAGGCTTGTGCTGGGAAATGGGAGTGTAGTCGTAGTCGGGAGGAAGCGCAACTTGGTGACGAACTTGATGCGACAAGACGACTGCAGTGCCATCCTTCTGGGCTTGCAGGCCGGCGGACGCGGCAACTTCGCGAGACTGTTCCGTCTCGAAGGTATCGGTCACCAAAGGCTCGGGTTCGTCGCGTCGCACTCTCTTCGATTGGAGTTGGTCCTCGCCGTCCGCCTCCTGGTCGTCAGCACCATCTTCCGGCGGCGGTGGAGGCGCGTCGGCCATGGTGGCATCGGCGGGAGCTGGCTGCTGGGTCTCGCCATCGTTGGATTTAACGTCGCCGTTGGCCTGTCTCTTTTTGTTTTTTCTGGATTGTCTGGGCTGCTGCTGCTGAGCAGCCTGCGGATCGGCGTCGAAGACGTCGAACAGCTCATCCATGTTGGCGGGCAGAGAGCCGTTGCGACGGTGGTGAGCGCCAGACGTAAAAGAGCTTGAACTTTTGCCTGGACCCAGCTACTGCGATGATGGCGCCGTCGGAAGAATGGCCGCCGGAAAGACCGAGGGGCAGCTGCGAACCGGGAGCCGGGGCTTGGCGGCAGGGCGGCTCAAGCAAGCAACCTTCGTCAGCCCGTTCGACACCTCCAAGCAGACCTCCCGTTGCACCATCGCCCACTACACCGCCTTCTGCATATCGCAAAAGTACGTCTGCGTGGATGCGCCTGTCTTCAATTGCCATGGAAGCCGGTGGCTGACCGACCGCAGATGTTCGCTGCCCGCGTCTCCTCCACCGTCCAGAAGAGGGCCTTCTCGGTCACTCGCGCCAGGCTTAGCTCGCCCTACCACTACCCCGAGGTTTGAAACTCCAGAGCTCTGGTTCTTCATAAGCTCTTCATGTACTGATGCGATGTGCAGGGTCCCCGTGTATGATTGCTACCGATGACGCAGATGCCGCAGCAACGACTAACTTAGTCCTAGAGCAACATCCCCTTCAACCCTCTGACCAGGTTCTTCGCTTTCCGCTACTGGACCTTCATGGGTACGCTATATTGCCGCAAGCAATTGGGAGAGGCGACTGATTGTTGGCGTAGCGACCGGCTTCTTTGCGCCTTTCGGCATTGCCGGTGAGTGCATATCGCAGCCCAGTGTTCGTGGATATCCGGAGCTGATGCGCCTGATTTCACGCAGTCTGGCAGACCAAGAAGGACCAATAGACGGTTGGTCTCATGAGTTCAAACCTGGGCGGAACGTGACGGAAGTCTGGGGCACAGCGACGCAGCGGAGTTTGCGCGACTGCTGCACTTGTACAAAATGCCATACTTCCAGGCGGCTGTTGTCAGATGAAATTACCGTTGATATCGTGATACATCCAGAGTGCAATCCGGAAGTGAGTGAGTTGAATCACGTGTGCAATGAGATAGGATGTCGCAGCTACTTTATCAAGTAGTAGTAGATGGTTTGAACTGTGCTTTTTGAGTATGCGTCGACAAAACTGCTCTCATAACCGCGTGCTGTCAGCGGCGCAGCACCGTCGCAACCGCGCCCATGACGGGGGTAACCTTCCTATGGCTTGGCATCAATTCGGCTGACTAGCGCAACCTCGAAATTTTGATTCGCCATTACTCGAGACGGCACATGTAGGCAGCCCAGCGATGACCATACAGCTTTACCACCTAATCGTCTTGATTCCGAAGTCGCCATGCGCAATCTACGGACTGTCCGGAACACCGTCCGCAAGTTCCCAGAGGATAGCCTTCCCTTGACGGCGACCGCATGGGATACGGCAACCGACTCGCTAATCTGCACATTTGGACCATCCGAGTCAAGTGCTGTCATCGAACTCAAACGCCTCGTTGAAGGAGGCAGCAATTCTGAGGATGCCTTCTCCACCATTGCTTCGTGGGATGCACCTTGTCCTCTCCCGGATCTGGCCTGCGACAAGGTTCTGAGCCTGCAGTATTTCCCGGACACCTTGACATCATGCCTCATCCTTGCCGGTGGCGATATCGTGATTGTCAGAGAGGAGCCGTTGCCGGGAGAGGACCTCATTGAGATTGTTGGCTCCGTCGATGCGGGCATTTCAGCAGCGGCGTGGTCGCCGGACGAAGAGCTTCTGGCGATCAGCACCCGTGCCAACACCCTGCTTTACATGACCCGGGAGTTTGAGAATGTCACAAGCATCACTCTTACTCCTGAAGATATCAAGGCCTCCAATCATGTTTCAGTTGGATGGGGTAAGAGAGAAACGCAGTTTCAAGGGAAAAGAGCCAAGGCACTCCGGGATCCTACTGTACCGGAGAAAGTTGATGAAGGTCTTTTAAGCTCTCTCGATGATGCTAAGGTCACTATCACTTGGAGAGGCGACGGTGCTTATCTGGCAGTGAACTCTATTGAGGGCGAGAAGCGCCGCATGATCCGAGTCTATTCAAGAGAAGGAGTGTTGGACAGTGTAAGCGAGCCCGTGGATTATCTCGAGGGTGCCTTGAGCTGGCGACCTGCCGGAAACCTCATTGCAGGAATCCAACGCTTGGATGACCGTATTGATGTTGTCTTTTTCGAGCGCAATGGCCTTCGTCATGGACAGTTCAGTCTGCGTTTGACCCCCGAGGAGATGGCAGCGTGGGGAAGTAACATAAGCCTTGCATGGAACAGCGATTCGACTGTACTTGCTGTATCCTTCAAAGACCGTGTACAGCTCTGGACGATGGGTAATTATCACTATTACCTAAAGCAGGAGATCAGCTGCACCAATGATCAAATTGCGAGCTCTCCCGTCGAAGCCAGATGGAACCCTGAGAAGGCATTGCGCCTTTCTGTGGCTTGCCCTAGTATGCTTTGTTATTCTATATCTTCTGTGACCACCACTGACGTCGGGTAGATATATCCGAGAACCTCGAGTTTGTCTTTTCTGTCGCGAGTTGTTCGAGCGTGCAACCTCATGACTTTGGCACTGTTGCTGTTGTCGACGGCAGTAAGACATACCATTCTGTGATTACGGTGCCACGCTAATTAGGCTACAGGGGCACTCAAGGTGACACCGTTGAGACTCACTAATATACCGCCGCCCATGTCTCGGCATGAAGTGTGCTTGGAGAGCAATGCTATTGATGTAGCTACCAACGCATCCAGCACACGTATTGCTGTCTTGCACGATAACGAGGTTTCTCTCTACAGCTATAACATTTCCGAGAAATTCCCGGCGGATCCCGTCATGGAGAAACGTGAGCCTTTGCAAGTTCCCGGCGCCCGACCTCGCCAGATTGCCTTCCGGGGTGAGTCGGAAATATTCGTTCTCTTGGATGAAGAAGACACGGGAGAGAGCGTGCTTTGCCACAAAGAGCTTGAGCAACCAGAGTTCTCCATCTTACCTTTGTCGCGCCGGGCACAAAGTCTTGTCACGTCTGTCGACTACAATAAAGTATGCATTCAATATGCAGACGCGTCCGTGGCCCCGATATCGCAGGATGCCTCTGTGGAGGAGACGTCAATTTGCAAATTCCCTACCAGGGTTGCATGGGCTGAAGTGGTGCACCATGCTGAGGAGGTAAGTTGTTCAAGCCACACTTTAGCAAACTTTTTTGATGACAAAAGCAGGATATTGCTGTTGGGCTAACTAGCAACGGTACTTTGTACGCCAATGGAAGACTGCTTGCAAAGAGCTGCACGTCCTTCCGAGTTACTCTTGCTCATATCATCTTCACAACCACCCAGCATCTTCTCAAGTTTGTACACTTGGCCCCAGTTGACGGTAAGGATTTTTCACTCGCCTCCCCTTAATGAACTAATCAACTTATGTCATGAATAGAACTCGAGGTCCCACTTGATGAGCCGGAAAGAGACGAAAGGTGCCGTGCAATTGAAAGAGGTGCTCGCTTAGTTACTGTTATGCCATCATCGTTCTCGGTGGTGCTGCAGATGCCGAGAGGTAACTTGGAGACAATCTTTCCCCGGGCAATGGTCGTTGCGGGCATTCGAAAGAACATTGCAGACAAAAAGTACAAGGCTGCATTCATGGCCTGCCGTAACCAGCGTGTGGATATGAACATTATTCACGACCACATGCCAGAGCAGTTCATGGCCAGTATTCAGCTTTTCATTGATCAGCTGAAGAAGGCGGCACACATTGACTTGTTCCTTTCCCAACTCAGGCAAGTATCATCCGCACAATAAAAGTATAGAAAGCTGACTCTCAGCAGGAATGAGGACGTCACGCAGACCATGTACAAGGAAACCGTCAAAAACACGGTAGCAGGAACTGCAACTGCTACAGCTGCGCATGCCAGCGGGACTGTGGCATCTTCCTCTTCTTTTGACGTATCTACCAAGGTTAACCGCATATGTGGCGGTTTCTTAGAGGTCCTGCACAAACGGACAGAGGCGAATTTGCAGAACATCGTCACGGCTCATGTCTGCAAATCCCCGCCAGATCTCGAGGGCGGCTTACAGGTTGTTGCTAAGGCCAAGGCGCAAGATGATGGCCTTGCAGAAAAAGCTGCAGAGCACATTTGCTTCCTTGCCGATGTCAACCAACTTTATGACACTGCACTTGGTCTGTACAACCTTGAGGTTGCGTTGCTCGTTGCCCAGCAATCGCAAAAGGATCCCAGAGAGTACTTGCCGTATGTCCAGGGGCTCGGAGAGATGTCTCAACTTCGGCGCCAGTTCACAATCGATGACAACCTCGGTCGCCGCTCAAAGGCTCTCAAACATTTGCATGAGTTGGATACCTTCGATGAGCTTAACTTATACACCGAGAAGCATGAATTGTACAGCGATGCCATCGCCCTGCACAAATACCAGCCGGAACGTCTTAGGGAAACCATGGCACTATATGCCGCTTACCTCAACAGCCGCAACCGATTCCGCGAAGCCGGTATCGCATTCGAGTATCTCTCGGATTATACGTCTGCCACCGAGGCCTACCGCGCAGCCAACATGTGGCGCGAGGCACTGTTCTCGGCTACCAGCGTTCCTCTACCGGAAACGGAAATCACGTCGCTGGCGGAAGCACTTGCAGATACACTCACTGAGACGAAGGACTTCTACGCCGCAGCCACGATTCATCTCGACTACCTTAACGATCTGGAAGCAGCCACGCGCGTCTTCTGCAAGGGCTACTTCTTCGCGGAAGCACTGCGCGTCGTGGGGCTGCGGCGACGCCTTGAGCTGGTTGAATCGGTCATCGACCCTGGGCTCATTGAAGGCTCGGCGGCCATGACCGAGATGCTGGCCGAGTGCAAGGGACAGCTCGGAGCACAGGTGCCGAGACTGCGCGAGCTGCGGCAGAAGAAGGCCGAGGACCCGCTGGCATTCTACGAGGGAGCCGGCGGCGGCGAGGGCGGCGACATCCCCGACAACGTCTCGGTCGCGGCGACGGACACGACGAGCGGGGGCACGTTCATGACGAGGTACACGAACCGGACGGGCACGGTGAACACGACGAGCACGAGGCGCACGAGCAAGAACAGGCGGCGAGAGGAGCGCAAGCGGGCGCGCGGCAAGAAGGGCAGCGTCTACGAGGAGGAGTACCTAGTCAGCTCGATCGGGCGGCTGATCGAGCGGGTGAACCAGATCAACGAGGAGGTGGCGCGCCTGGTCGAGGGCCTGATGAGGCGGGGCATGAGGGAGCGGGCCGCGGCTGTGGAGGCCATTATGGCGGACGTGGTCGAGGCGGCCACGAGCAGCGTCGAGGAGGTCTTCCAGGTGGAGAAGACGCAGCAGCAGCAGCCGACGACGCAGGGCGAAGGTGCCGAGGGTGAGGCTGGCTTGGGCGAGAGGCCCGCAGGCGCTGACGGCGTGCTCTGGGACAGCATGCAGGCGGAGCTCCGCAAGAAGGAGGCGCCGGTGGTGAAACGCTTCGAGAAGCTGAGCCTGGTGGGTTGAGGGCCGGCCGAAAGACGGGAAGGCCGGGCAGATCCGAGCCAGGGCGCAGCGAGCAATTCAAAAAGGGTCTTGAAATAGAACAGAGGTTGGTCTCGCTGCTGTGACCGTGTCTTGGTTGAGTAGCGTCGTTATTTCCACAACCTCCTTTCCTTGCATCTATTCGTAATTTCCACGTGCAGGGCGACTGATAGGACCGGCCGGAAGGGTGTAGTCGAGTAGACCGTAATCACGACCAATGACGACCAGGAGAATGCGGTGCTGTAGTGCCTATTATATCTAGAAACAAACACTAAACCATTTCCCACTCTACTAACAGACGGTATATACGGACGGCGGGCCGCACAGCTGGGAGGCGTCGTGTTTGAAGACGTCCCGGCTGGAACGGCGACCCGCTTTTGCACAGGCTCCGGGACACAGGGCGAGAGGGCAATCCTCATGTCGCTTCGCGGCCAGCACGTTCAGCACGTTCAAGCATGGCGATAGAGCAGAGCACATATACGCTCGCCCCCCCTAGGCTGGGGGATGTGAGAGCGAGCGCGGGCATCACGGTCATGGGGTGGGCAGCAAATCCAGTACGGGCGCACGCATGAGCATGATGAGCGACATGCAGAGGCAACGAAAGAAAAAATAAAAAGCGGCGCATGAACGCTCATTGGCGAAACGGGGGGCGCTCGTGGACTCGCTGGGCATTTTTCGAAACAGACCGCCGGGGTTCCAGGCGCGACAATCAATTCACGGTCATTGATCTGAAGCAGGCTAGGCAGGAAACAAATTTCCTGAGGCGAGGGCAGATACGACGAGCAGAAAGCGAAATAGAGCCCGGTAGGCAGTGCAACTGTAACAAGCCGGCTGAGTTGATCGTCGGGACGGCGGCAACATGGACGAGGAGTCGGGCACGTCGGGGCAAATGTCAAATGTGCGAGGGCAGAGGTGAACCGGGCGGTGGCAGCCATCTCGCCAAGGGCCGTTTTAGTGGGAGCGGCTGTCTGAGAGATCCTCCTGCATGACGGCAGATCCCCCCTGGCTCCCGACACGAAGACGGACGGACGACGACGACGACGACGACGACGGTGCAGTTGAGCCTCTTGCTCTCTGGTCGTTCCCCCGGGCGCCACGGGCGGAATGGCGCCAGGCCGTGAGGGTGGCAGGCGTGACGGCATGGCTCGCGATTCATGGCGACGCAGGGAAATTGGCTGCGGCCGTGCACGACTCGGTGTTATGGGACACGGCGGTCCAGGCCGCAGGGCCGGCAGTAATAGTAGTGGTAGCTGGAGGCATATGTGTGTGTGTGTGTGGGCGGGGCGGATTCACGATGGTGGGGGCGGGAGGGAGGAGGGATCACGCGAGGCACGGCAGGAGGTAGGTGATGGTGGTGGTAGGTTGATGGGTGGGTTGGTGATGGTGATGGGGTAGGTTTATTTATTATTTCCGGAGTACCGTAACCTAGTGGAAGGATGTGGCGGAGAAACAGTTGCAGCAGCAAAAGGCAAAGCCCCTGAGGCCGATCGGGATTGGTGTTGTTGACTTGGACTTCTCGAACGCCTGACGCCGGCGCGCCATTTCGGCTTCCGCATGAGGATTAGCCAGGAACAACTCCTAAATTAGAGACCGGGGCTGCAACACGGTCGGCCAATCAGCCCCATGCGTCTCTCCTGGGCCTCCTCCGCCATATTCACTCAAGCCGCCGCCGCCTCTCGCTCGTTCTCTTTCGTCGTCTTTGCTTTGTGCTTGCCTGCCATCGACCCTTTCAACTCTTTCCTCCAGGCGGCCCTCACACTCTCTCTAATCCCTTTAACCCCGACTTTCTTTAACTGCAACTCCACCCAAGTCACTCCTTTGCAAGGGCCCGCCGCCTAATACACCACTTCCAACAACCTACAACTCCACCAACCAAATACACTCGCTCCCTTGTATACCATCGACAGCCTCCCGGTGCGCGCGCATCACGACTTGCCAATTGACGACCTTACGCTGTTAATCCGTAATCGCTGCTGAGGCGCATGTCAGCACCATGAACAGACACCACTCTGCCCACATGGCCTTCCACCATGCCCGTCGTGGGGCTCAGGGAGTCGACCAGAACCTGTCCGAGACGCTGGTTCCCGCCGCCCAGCAAGCCGCTGCTGCTCCTGCAGTTGCGCCCACCCGCTCACTATTCCAGAGGTCCGCCGAGCTCTTCTCCCGCTCCAACAAGTGTACCACCAGTTCCGAGGCGGACACCTGCCAGAAGCCCACGGACAGCAGCTTGGCCATTATCCTCGCCGCCGTGTATGTTCCTTTTCTATTTCTCTCTCTCTCTCTTGCTCGTCCTAATCGCGTCCAGTATCCCCATCGTCGTCGCCATCGTCGTCTTGTTCATTCTGCACCAAAGGCATATGAAGAAGCAAAGACTGGAGGATCTGAACGACAAGCATAAATCCCTGGATTTTGGTCTGGACGAGCCCATGCCCGCCAGCGGCCGCGCTGGTCGCAAGCACCCCGAAATGTCCGTCGCCGATGCCGAGAAGACGATCCGGAAGGGTGGTCGCGGAATGTCCATGGATATGTCCAACAGCCCCTATCTGATGCCCGACAACGTGAGAGGTTCCCGGGAATCCTTGCACTCCATGAACCCTTCCATTGTCGCAGACTCGATTGATCCTTACCGCCCCGTGACCTTCATCAAGGAAGCTGACAACGCTTCGATGATGTCCAAGTCAAACCCCTTCAGCTCTCCCGAGGACCCCAAGATGCCCGAGATCCAGTTCCCCCCGCCTTCGCACGTCAAGCCGCCCCCGAGTCCCAGCGCCATCACGCCCCAATCCGGTTCCTCCCCGGCCGACAAGGACCTTACCCGCGACTCTTACTTTGAGAACAACCCCGCCAAGCCTGCTGAGACGCCGTTTGCCGACCCCGTTGAACCCACCCTGCCCGAGATCCACGAGGCCATGGATAGCGCCGAACCGCTGCCTACTCCCACGCCCCGCAAGCCTACGCCTCTGAGACTCGAGTCCATGGTTGCTTCTGTCCACAACCCCCAAACGGATACTGTCTACAGCAAGACCAGTGATTACGGTGATGGTTTCAAGGTTACTCCTCCTTCCCCTGGCCGCGAAGAATCCGCTGCTACTGCCGCCGCTCTTGAGTCTCAGGGTCTGAACGCCGCCGCCCCTAAGCCTGGTAACCGGATTTCGATGAGCCTTCGTCCCCTTCCTCCCATGGAGGACCCGACCGAGAACCCCGAGGAGCGCGCCAACCGGATACGTTCTTTCTACAAGGAGTACTTTGACGATTCCAAGCCCGAGCCCCAAGGCCGCCTCGCCGAGAACGAGGGCTACGACCAAGAATACATGGAAGGCGCCATCTTCGATCCTGACAAGGGCCACTTCGTTGTTGGTGGCCAGCCGTTCGCTGAGCCCGTTACTCGCCGTGCCATGACTCCTCCTCCCCGCGCTCCTCCCCGGTTCCGTGGTAACGCTGGTCACGCCTACAGCGGCTCTGGTGGCGCGAGCGGCAGCGGCCGCTTCACGCCCATGTCGATGCCCCGCGGCAACTCTGCCATGAGCATGCGTAGCGAAAGCCCCAAGAAGCCTCTGCCCCCGCCTTCGGTTCTCAACTCTCTGCCCACTCCCGCCAAGCTGACGGACGATGCCCTGACGCTGAACCCCGCCGATTTCGCTCCCCCGCCGTCCTTCAGAGAGATGCAGAACGGTCGTCGTCCTGACAGCCCCATGGGCATGGAGAGACCCTACTCGCCTTCCGTTCGCCCTCACACCCCGCTTATCTCTGCATTCGACGAGATGCCTGTGATTCCTAGCCCGTAAGTGCATTCCTATTTCTGACTCTGAAAAGAGAAATGATAACCGATAACTAACTCTTCTTTTCCCAGGCACGCACTCCGGAAATCTGGCACCTTCACCTCGCTCGACTTCGTGCCGCCGCCGCGCTTCAAGGACGTCAACGCCGGCAGCGACGCAGCATCGATCCGCAGCAACGGCACCGGTATCTCGGCGCAGCAGATGCAGGCCGTGCGCAACGGCGCGTACCGCGTCAGCCGTCTGCCGGCCCAGGCCGTCGGAACCAAGGACGACATGATGTCGGCGCTGAAGCCGTCGTGGGATCTGCGGGACGGAGGCAATGGACAAGTGAAGCCCAGCTCGTAGATGTCTGATTTGATTAGTTGTTGTTGATTTTTTCCTGGTGTTGTTCTTTTTTATCATATATCTTCTTCGCTGATCTGAAAGCTGGCGCTCTCTCCCTGGTGGAAAATAAACAAAGATCCAAGCACACACAGACACACTCAGACACAGACACTCTCGACGCACAAGCAAAGTTTTAGAGCATATACGCACACTCGTAGGCCATTCTATGCCTCTCTTACCCCTCATCCTCCTCGTCATCAGCATCATCTTTTTTTGTCTCGGCGCGTCAATCAAGCAATCAATCGCTCGATCGATCCTGTAGTATATATCTTGGAGAGTACCTACCTACCTACCTACATACCCCGTACGTACCTGGTACCTGGTACCTGGTAGCCAGCACAGCACAGCACAGCACAGCACAGCACAGCACAGCACAGCAGCAACCCCCATACCCCTCCCCCCGGCCTGTCGTCAGTCACCATTTATTTAGCATTTTCATCAGCATCAGCGGCGAGCAAGAAGGCTCGTGTGTACGCGCGCGCGTTTTTATTTTCTTTTTCTTTTTTTTTTTTT